CATACCCAAAACCAATACAAACCTTTTACCAAACCAACATACAAACATGTCTTCCAACACACAAGAAACCCGCCTCGAGATCGAGATCTCTTGGGATCACCCCGCAACTAGTACCAAACATGTCGCAACAGTCAACGCACTCTTGGACAGTGGCACAGAAGACTGGATCATGTCTTGGGACTGTATCCACTATGCGAAAATACCCACTCAACCTCGACCAAAGCCTCTCATCATCAGACAGGCCGATGGTACCCCTATGCCCAATTCCGGCACTCACATCACTCAACCTCTTACCCTCCGCATCGGCAATCATCTAGACAGGGCTATCACCTGTGAGGTTGGCTCGTTTGCAGGAGAGGACCTCGTCATACCACATCGATGGCTCAGGGAGCATCAACCAACCATCCATTGGGGACGCAACAGTGTTAGCTTCCATAGCAACAACTGTATAGTCAATAGATGCTTCGTATCAGTCGAGGACATATACGATCAAGACCCAGAAGAGCTGATCATCAGGCTGTTGAGGGCGTCACCCAAGAAGCAGATGGCGATCGAGCAACACCCCTTCTGGGCAAGAGCATCGGTAAACGAGGCTCTCGTTAGTGCTATACCGGTGGAGTTTCAGGGATATGCCGACGTGTTCTCCAAGGAAGGAGCCGCTCGACTACCTGACCACTCTGAATGGGATCATACCATTCCTCTTATGGAAGGAAAGCAGCCGCCGTGGGGACCGATCTATTCGCTCTCCCCACCTGAAGACAAGGCACTCCGGGAATATTTGGACGAAAATCTGCCCTCTGGCAAAGTAGTCCCCTCCACCAGCCCAGCAGCGGCACCCGTCCTGTTCGTTCCGAAAGCTAATGGTAAGCTTCGGTTATGTGTCGACTTTCGTGGTTTGAATGGAATCACAATCAAAAACCGTTATCCACTGCCGCTCATGAACGAGCTGGCCGACGCAACGAAAGGAGCACTCTACTTCACGAAGATAGACCTGAAAAATGGCTATAATCTGATTAGGATTGCTAAGGGCGAAGAATGGAAAACCGCTTTCCGAACGAAATACGGCCTTTTCGAATATAGGGTAATGCCTTTCGGCTTGACCAATGCTCCTGCGTCGTTTCAGGTCATGGTCAATACCATATTCAAGGACCTCCTAGATCAAGGCGTAGTAGTCTACCTGGATGACATCTTAATGTATTCAAAGACTAGAGAGGAGCATACGACTCTTGTACGAGAAGTTTTGGAGCGACTGCGACGACACCATCTATACGGAAACCTCGAGAAAACGGAATGGTATCAACAGGAGGTAGAATTCCTGGGATTCGAACTATCAGGAAAAGGGAACCGAGTATCACCCAAGAAGGTTCAGGCGATCGAAGGCTGGTTAGCCCCAACCAAAGTCAAGGAACTTCAGTGTTTCCTCGGATTCGCCAATTTCCTAAGACGGTTCATCCACCGATACTCTGAGGTTTGCAGACCCATGACCGATCTCCTGAAGAAAGGTTCCGTATGGAAATGGGGCAGGGAACAGCAAGATGCGTTCGACGAGCTCAAGAGGAGATTTACGTCTGCTCCAATACTCCGACACTATGACGAACACCGCGAAGCAATCGTGGAAACTGATGCGAGTGACTGGGCTGAGGCCGCAGTACTCTCTCAGATGTTCGAGGACGGTATCCTACATCCGGTAGCTTACCACTCTCGCAAGTTCAACGAGGCAGAGGTTAACTATGAGATCTACGACAAGGAGATGCTCGCAATAGTTTCTGCTCTCTTGACTTGGAGACATTGGCTGGAAGGGACGGACATCCCTATCCAGATACATTCGGATCACCAAAACCTGCAGTATTTCACAACGACCAAGAAGTTGTCGAGAAGACAAGCCAGATGGGCCGAGAAGATAGCACCTTTTCGCTTCAAGATCCATTACCGACCAGGCGAAAGGAACGGCAAGCCAGATGCACTTACAAGGCGTCCGGAGTTCGCAATGGAAGGGGAGTAATGCGTGAGCAGCCCGTAAAACAGCTACTCAGCGCAGAACAGTTTGTCAGAAAATCACGGACCAGCGTAGAAACTGGGTCCGAAGTGATTGGCAACCCCGAAGAGGAATGGAATCAGTTGGATCAGTGGTACAACATACCGAGCGTAGAGCTGCCTCAGCCACTACAGGGTTGGTATGAACAGGAAAGACGATGGGTTCGGAGGATGGTTCCGGATGAACACCTCCCTGACTCAAACCTTGAGATCTTCGGACCACCGGAGGCCGCTATCGTAAAGGTAGAGCCTGCCGCTGAATGGAGTCCCGATTCGAATGACCCCACCCACGATGGTCGATGGGTAGTACCGGGCTACGCGGTCAAGCAGGTCATGGAGGAACATCATGATCGACCCGTAGCGGGGCATCTAGGAAGGGATAAAACCCTTGAGTTGATTGATAGGAACTACTGGTGGCCAGGAATGTCCACGGATGTAGCCAACTTCGTCAAGACTTGCGATGTATGCCAGAGAGCCAAGCAACGTCGGAGACACTTGTCACTCCCTCAACCCCTAGAGTTAGCCACCACACCTTGGACTGATATCTCGATGGATTTCGTAGTAGAAATGCCTAAGGAGAAATCAGGATTCCGCAACGTATTGGTAGTCGTGGACCGTTTTACGAAGATGGCTCACTTCATTCCAATGACGGGAATCAACGCGGAACAAACCGCCAACGCATTCGTCAAAGACATCTGGCGTTTCCACGGACTTCCTAGGAGCATCGTCTCAGACAGAGGAACGCAGTTCGTGTCAGCATTCTGGGCGGCAATTACGGACAGACTGGGGATTCGTAGAAGACTCTCCACCTCATTCCACCCCCAAACCGACGGCCAAACAGAGCGGACCAACCAACACATGGAAGGTTATATTCGGGCATATACGGCAGGAACAGGCAAGAAATGGAAGGACCTGTTACCTATCTGTGAATACGCCTACAACAATGCGAAGCATACGTCGACGGGGCAATCGCCGTTCTACTGCAATTACGGCTTCCACCCTCGAACGGATTGGCCTACGGATGCGGAGATCGAACGATTAGACGCCAACGGGAACAACTACTTGGATGAGATCATTACGGCTCATGAGTTAGCGAGAGATACGCTACAGAAGACCTTCGACAGGATGGCGTCAAAGCCAGGACCGGCAGTACAGCGGTTCACTATAGGTCAGAAAGTCTTGCTGGACACTCGGAACCTAGGAGGATACTCCAAGTGGTCAGACAAGTTCACAGGGCCATTTACAGTTTCAGCAGTGGTGGGCAATCGGGCTTACCGTCTCGAACTTCCGGTAGAATGGAAGGTTCACGACGTTTTTCACGAGATGCTGCTGCGACCCTATCGTGAGGACCCGGATCCCACCAGAAAACAAAATACACGAAAGCGACTGGCAACACCCGAGCCACAGGAGGCATTGGCAGACGAGAATTTCCAGCCAACCTCGAACATACGACCCCATACGCGAAGTCGAGGCCCAGTGATCGATAATGACCGGGCTCATAAACGACAACGGAACAGGCGAGACTAAGCTCGATACCTTTCCCTACTCTATGACTTTTCCCACAGGGTTTTTTATCATAGAAGGGTTTTAACGGTCGAGGGCGACGTCTAGGAAGGGGGAGTAGTGTTACGGGAACTACGGAGCACTGTTCTAAGAGACTTAGGACAATGAGGAATACAAGTGACGGGTTGTGATGCAAGGACGGTCGGGTAACGAAAGGACAAGCATAGGAAGGTATCGGGTAGTGTGGGAGCACGCGGTGTTACTACACTAGTGTTATACTATTATGACGGCACGCTTACTATTGGGTGCCTCACCCGGAATAGGATAGGAAGCGGGGCTTACGGCTGTAGGCTGTTCTACTTAGGGAAGTAGGTCTAGGATAATGGTATGGTACAGCCCGATGACTGGCAATTGCAAGGTTCATGGTTACGTGTCGGAATTAGAATGGAGGACGGAACTATGCGGGGGCGCTTTTCTATCTGGGTTATCTTCGGGAGCATTATCTTATTCTATTATCGTTGTGTCAGTTAGTATTAGAAAGCGGGCCTTGGTATAGGTTCCAACATGTATAAATAGGGCTTGATTCTCCGAAGACTTGAGGGTATCATCAACCATCAAGTCAAGGGAATCCGGTTTTACAATATCATCAGTTTAAACGCTACAGAATTATCGCTTAGCACTAGCCATTTTCCTTAACAGTTATATACTCTAGGTATATGTTAAAGTGAGACATGCATCTATCTACTTACACTACGTAGTAGACCGTTGAAGTTTCTACTCTCTGATTCGACACGAACAAACTGGAACTTTAGACGAATCTCGGGGTTTCTGGTGTGGAACACGTTTAAATTTCAATCGGAGAAATTTAAAGCATCAGGTGAGCTAGAGTATGTACCTAGCTATGTGAGGATTTAGGAGGTTTTCAGTTGTACTAATTACCCAATGCAGAAAGCCCGACTATAAGACTACTTATGTAGGTTGACAGGTTGCTCTACTAAATGGCTGAAAGCAACTAACGGCTTCCGTTTTGAATTCGTATACTCCATGCATGGACATACTCAGCTGGTACTACGGATATTCCCAATTGCACTGTTGCACATGACCTTTAAAAAAAAAAAAAAAAAAAAAAAAAAGGCGTCCTTCACCAGGCCGGACACGGGAGTTACATGCTCCATCACTCGGTTATGTACCGGTTACCTGCATCATCAAAGAACATTCAGCCTGTCTTTGTTAGTTCCCGGAGGTCACAGACTACTCTAGCTTGAGAAACGTCTTTCAAGACCACAGTGTGAACCGTGTATCGCGCACTGACACTCAAGGATTATGATACCTGCTAGCTTGTTTTTAATTCCTAGCGGTAGTTATCACGACTAGCTTGAGTAAACATAAAAATCAACCAATTAACAATTACCACCAACCCAATCTCAGCCCTGTTACTCTGCCCCTCAATTTCAATTGAGTTCTCAGTAGACCGTATGCCCACCTGATGGATCACGACGTCAGTCTCAGCCTCAATTTCCCAATCCCATTCTTATCGAATATAAAAAAGCTAACTCACCATCAACGACGTAATCTGCACCCGTCACATATGAACTAGCCCCGCTAGCCAGAAACACATAGACACCCTTCAATTCCCATACCTTGCAAAGCCTCCCCGCAGGGCAGTCGTTCATCCATGTCTTTATTAGCTCTGGGTTCTTATTTACCAGTTCCGTGGTCCTGTTTCCATGGATTTAGAAGGAAAAAAAAAAGCTCGCATGGAGATACTGGATTGATAATTTAGGCGAGTAAAAAGCAGAGTGTGTACTTACATCTCGGTGTCTATGTAACCGGGACTCACGGCGTTGACTTGGATATTCCATTTTGCGAACTCGGCGGCGAGTGCGCGGGTTAAGTGACAGACGGCCCCTTTGGTTGCGCAGTACTATTACCTTACCGTCAATACTTTATTCAATCTAGAGCTTCGTTTGATACTCTACAGTATCCATGAGGGGTTCTGCGTACAATTGATTCGTACTGTGGGCGAAGGACCATGTGACCACTAATTTTTTTTTATATATCACGTGATTAACTCAGTTCACAAAACTTGGTGATAGGATTAAACTTAGGACCAGACCGGAATTTGGAAGCGAAAAGGAACAATGATTGGGAGAATACTTTATTGAGGCTGTCATGATGATCTTTCCACCCCCGTTGTCCTTGAAAATTCTGTAAGGGTCACATAAAACGTTAAACACCTCAGTCGATAAATAGCAGTAGCAACTGCCGAGCACCCCCTACTATCGCTCACTAAGTGGCCACTGCAAGTCCTCACCCCAAAGTAGCTACTAGAACAGAAGAGGGCATCACACATACCTAGCAGCCGCTTGCGCTGTGTACAAGGGCCCAAAATAATTGACGCCCGTAACAAATTGGGCCTCTTCGGGCTTCATATCCAACGCGGGGGTCTCCGTATAAACCCCCGCATTCGCGACCACTACATCTAGCCTGCCAAAGTCTGCAAACACCCTCCGCGTCACATCCTCAATCTCTTGCGCCTTGGACACGTCCGCTTGGTACACCCGTACCTCCGTGTGCGGGTACTTTGCGTGGATCTCGGCGGCACGTGTGGCGGCAAGGTCTGCTGTCGCCGCACAGGAGTGGATGATGGCAAGGCCGGCGGCCTGCGCCTCGGCGAAGCCAGTAGCGACAGCCAGGCCAATGCCTCTGTATATGGGAGTGCATTGGCATTATTCAGGGGAATTGTTTTTCTGGTTTGGGGCACTGTGGATTTTGACACTTACCTATTACCTCCAGTCACTAGGCAGACCTTGCCCGCCAGAGAGAAGAGCTGAGACAATGGCGTCGTTTCGCTGGGGGCGTGGAGTAAACTCATGATTTTCCTTTCCGTTCTCACTTGGTTGGCTCTTTTGGTCTGGTTTGGTTGGTTGGGATAAAACGCAGTATGTACTCTGCTGCAGTACGGTTAATTTTTTTTTAATTGTTTCTTGCCGTACCAAGACGTAGGGCGCGGTGATGATGAAACGAAATAGAAAAAAAAAGGAGCAGATGAGGTTTTGAAAAGAGGGGTACAGACAGACAAACACAGTAGGTAGAGGGGAGCTCGGGAGGGGTTCCAGTAGAACGTTTGAACTCGTCGATCTCAATGCTGGCGTTCTTTATTTTCCAAATGCAAAAGCTAGTAGAGCAGTGCACTACACAGAAAGTCCAGACAAATTGATACTCCCTTCCTCCACCGCTTCCAGCCAGCAAATGCCAATATATATGAGGGAACTCAATGTGCAAAAAAAAAAAAAAAAAAAAAAAAAAGGAGAGAGAGAGATAGAGAGATAGAGAGGGCTCGTTGCACAGTTGCGGGGCTCACCGCCCTGCATGAGGAGCTACCAACTATATCTTACCACCTGCCAGAGCTATGACGGTCACGGTTAATCAGATCATATATTGAAGTGGTAGGTCACTATCAAACTAGCGTGGGTAGGTATCAGTGTTCTATCGCTTGATTACCACTGCTCTGGGCTCTGGGCTCGGGTCATGGGTTCACGGCGGAGGGTGACGTCTTTGTGCATTGGACTGTTATGCAGTCTGTCCGACACATATCTTTTTTCTTTGCCCTCTTTTCCCTACCAAGGGCAGGTATCATATGTAGGTATGGATATGTGAGAGCGGCAGTATCAGAAGAGGGGTGATGATGATGCATTATGGTCTGAATGTTTGCACTTTAGGTATCGTGGTCATTGCATGATATGATGGCATAGCATGGCAACACGACTCGAAATCCCAACAGAACAGAGAGAGAGAGAAAGAAAGATGTTCCTGCTAAATCAACGATTGTTTCAGCAAATGTGTTGTATGTCTAAGTAGCGGGGTCGAGGTGTAGTCCACGACGACAACGACGAACAAAACCACCACCAACAGCCACCAACAACAACACTACCACCACCGCATACTCGGCGAATGACTAGAAACTATTCTATTTTATTTTCTTGGGAGGCCTGCTGTTTGCCCTACAGGATGATTTGTCGGCAATTGAGCGGCGGAAAGGAAGAGAGGGGCATGGCAACAGGATGCAGTGAATGGTTCGATGATGACACTCGACAGAGGTACCGAGCAGCACCAAGCATTGAGAAAAAGACGAAGCATGAGAATGGATTTCCAGGGTGTAGAAAAAAACGAAGAAGAAGCTAAAAACACATGGTTGGAAAAAAGAAAGGAAGAAAACGATAAAAATCAGACCCATGCCATCAAACACCAAAAACGACCGACAGCCCATCAAAATGGAGACCAAAACGAACAAGAGAAAAAAAAAAAGAAAAAAATAACCACAAAAATAACCATATGAGATGAAAACATTGCTAATATCTATATGGCCAAATGAAAACACTCAGATAAACAAGGGGAAAATAGGAAGAGAAGAAAAAAAAGACAGAAACACCAGATGAATCGCGATTGATCGTAGATATTGCATATTGCGTGCAGGAATATGCACGTAACATGCAGAACGCCCCACAGTCAAAAAGGGAACCCCGTGACCCCGCTTATTTTTCGACAGGAATTGGAACTTCGGCCATGGAAGCCAAACGGAACATGTGCCTGTCCTTATCTTGACTTGCATCGTAATCAAGCGTTGCAGTATCTAGCGGAAATCTTAGTATTTTGCAACTCATTCCGACCCGCAGCCTCCTCCTAGTTAAGCAATGCAGGAGGGCCGGGGAGGAGTAAAAGTGTAGAAGGGGAGAAACTTACGACATGTTGTGCGGTTGTCGAAAATGACCACCGTCTTTGGTCTCCACGAAAGCCTAACTTGGAAGTCATGCCCCTTCGTGATGTGATCAATCAAAAACTTCATGAGGACCTCAGATTCCGGGTCCTTCCACCCCTCGATCCCCTGAATGAACTCCCCATTGACAAAGATGGCCTTCTCTCCAGTGACGGGGTGGACTCTGATGATTGGGTGGGAGCTACGGACAGGGTCCTTTCGACAGAGCCCACCCGTGGCACGGGCAAAATTGCACATCTTCTCAGAAGAGTGGGTTGCTCTGAGTTCCTCTAGCATTGAGCGGAACGCTGGGGATAGCCGTCTGAGACATGTTAGTTAAAATGGCTCAATTGGGAATAGTAATAACGAGGCATCAACAATCACTCACCTGTATGCCTCAGTAGTATCGGCAAAGACAGTATCACCTCCGACCTCTGGCGCCTGCAGGATACAAAGCATAACATATCCCGGAGGCTGGCGCTCATAGCTCACATCTTGGTGCCACAGAGTTGACGTCAACTTGTGTTCGAAAAACTTGTCAATCTCGGCCTGGTTGCCGTCACGATATATGATGTGGAATCCCGGGAATCCCGGGACGGAGCCAGTAATTGGTTGGTAGTTTGGCTTTCCGAAGTGAGCCATGAACTCCTGCTGGTTCGCTGGGCCCCAATCGGCAAAGTTCTGGTCCCGGAGAACAACGCACTTGCGTTCGGATACCAGGAGTGCGAGATCATCCTTGGCGGCATCTGACATCTCTGACAATTGGACCCCAGTAAGTTCGGAGCCCATCTTCGGACTGATGTGTTTTAGTACGGCATCACCGTTGAGAAGGTTTCTCTTTGCCTTGTCTGCACGGAGGGCAGGGTCGATGAACTCGAATTCGGGGCATGGAGGGAAAAATACGGGCTCCCATGTTGGTAGGTATTGCGAATATTTCGATGTCTTACGGCTCTTGCGTAGCTCTTGTTGCTCACCAAGAGGCTTATATGGAAGATTGATATCGTATGATGCTGGCTCGTCTGAGGCGGGTTCTGAAGCGTGAGGGGCCATTTTTAACTCTGGCTGCGAATTGTGTTTTCTTAAAGTTCAGGTAGAGCTTTAAAAGAGTATAAACTGATGTTCTTTGAGAGCTTTGATGAGGTGTAGGAAACAGTTGCTGTGGTTTGTATTGATGTCGAAGTGAAAATAGTTGAGAGGCACGATGGGGTATTTATTCTCGAAACCACGAAGAGGAAGGGCGAGCTAGGAGCTCTAGCAATTGCCTGATCAATCGACGTTGTTTTCAAAATAACGTCATGACGAGGGGGAGAAGTTCTAACGATCCATCGGTCAAAGCCCCGTTTCCGGAAACCAGGAACACGGCACAATAATAGAGCATAGACAGTGCCTAGTGCTGAGAGGAGAGCCCCTCCTCCTCCTCCTCCTCCTCCTCCTCCTCCTGCGTCCTCCTCCTCCCCGTATCATTCCAGTCCAGCGACATATTGCCCAATTCAATCTCAATATCACTTTTTTCTTTTCTTTATATGTGCAGCGGGTCCAGCACTATGCAGGGTATCCGTTCAAATCGGTGATGATCGGCCAGGGTTTGTTTATTTATTGAGCTCAATTGACCAAACGATACTTGAATCACCGCGTGGCGTGGGTGGTCCTACCTTTGTGGTTTGTTCCTGAATACTAGGCCAGGGGGAGTGGGTGATACGAAGTACCTAGTGGGGTGACAAGAGTAACGTAGGTAGGGCAACAGTTGGGTTACTACATAAGTGCTCTACTTTTACAGCTTCCATCGGTGTTCTAATTGATATCGGATTCACGTGCAGTACTTACATGCTGCAGGTCTTTATCGTGCGTCCCAGGATATTGATGCGGGGTCTCTTCTACTGCTACGAGTCTAGGTTCGGTGAGCGGCGGATATGAGCCTCACTCGCACTCACGCCTAGGTAGGTTACCAGATCTGCAGACGGCTCTGATCTAGGAATATATGGAAAAAAAAATATATAATCCACTACGCACTTGAAAAGAAAAGAAAAGAAATATTTTTTTAAAAAAATGCGCCACGTTCCATAATTATGCAGTCTCATACTGTACCCGCCGGTACAGAGTACATTTCGTATTGTATCTCTCTTATGCATGCGAAACTCCAACACGCAATTAGGCCACGAAGGCCGACTGGTCAATCCTCCCTATCCCCAGTCCTTTCAATCAGTCAATCAATCAATTCAACACTAGTTGCGTGATCGAGATGCAAGTCATACTATCGGTATGATTTGTTCCTGAAAGCCTCAGGATATATCACAAGGTCACCAGACCATGGTTGAGCAGATTGAGCAGGAGTACGACTAGGAGGCTGAGGACGAGGACGACGGGGACGATAGAGATTCCTGTTGTCATAGTGGGGGCTATTGCTATACCCTACCCTTCCCACGAGGAATTAACACCCCTACCGAGGGAGCTCATGTAGCCCTGCTTATTTACATCAAGAGAGCAGGTATGTGTTATAATTACTACACAGTGTACATTCCCTCGAAAGCCTTACAATGCCTTCGCCGCAGCAATGATGTACTCTACATACCCACTGACATAATCCGCAACTGAGTAGGTACATACATACATAGTGACCGTTAACGTTGAGATATGCCTGGCGCAAAGACGACCCTTCGGATAGAGAGTCAATCAACTTCTGTACTCGTCCTCTACTCCGGGATCACGCCGACTGGACACATATGCAGTGTAGGTACTCTACAATAATCTATTCTTGAGTACCTCTATCCATCTGCATATGCACCGCATTCAATCAATAGAAAAGGATAGGCATAACATCGCTATCAGAACCACAGAAAGCACGTTGTCACCCACCACTACTGGACGGGGGCAAGTTCTGAACAGGCGGTGTTGTTGAGTGACGGTACCGCCGCACTGGAGACGGGGATATCGCGTGCCATTGTCACGCAACTAGCGTATGGACGGGTCCACACAACTGCACTAGGGAATATTGTGTACCACTCTTTATCATCACGCATAAATCCCCAGATTGATTGCTGGGTGGACAATGTACCTCCTGCCTACTCGAAGTGTAAGTACATATAGTTACATGATATTCATGTATACTACAGTACTCTATCCAGCGCGAACCACTTTCTGAGCTTATGGCGATCCATGGATCCAAAGAACGTACTTCATATCCGCGGCTGCCGCTAGTTACTTAGCCTTCACCGGGTTGAAAATCGATTGAGCAATCATCCATGATCACCAACCCTATTACAAAGATACAAGTACTACCTAAAAAAAAAAGTAAATACGCACATGTACTTTACCTGGAGCATGAGGTACATGAGTATGTAGTACATACTTCCCCAGATCATGAATTCACCCAGGTTGAAGAGACGAACAGCATGTACGGGGATACGGGTTCGGCATCACACAATAGTCACCACAGTTCGCTAACATGCCAAGATGTCTTACGGAATAAATGTCTTGTTCCATCCAAGGGATTAAAGATCCGAGTCTAAAAACAAAAAGATGGCGTTATATGCAGAGAGAAATAGTAAACCCCTCCAAAACGAGCTATTCACAGTAGCTAGTGCAATTGGTAAACGATTTGCAACTTCTCTTTAGAGCGCCGAGTGCTTTATCCCAACTTCCAAACTAAAGTAGAACGTTGCACCAACAGCCTCACAAATCTTGTTTGCACCAACTACAGTCGCTCACCTACTGACGGCGGATCCTGTCTGATGGTTCTGTTTGCAGTAATTTGCCCTTGGCGTCCAAAACCTAACTCTTTTATTGGCCTCAAATCCCTGGCCGCCATCAGACAGGATCCGCCTTCACCCCGTGAGTGACTGTACCACATGTATATACCCGTTGTTCCGAGCCCATGGCCAGCTAGTTAGGCGGGCAGCGAAAGATGGAACGGGCAAGCGTGGGTGCGGGCCGGCTGACATATCCGCACCTCTCTTCACTCTTCTTCCACTACTCAAGTAAGCTAGTGTGAAACAAACTCATTGAATTCAGCCTTAGGCCCGCCCACACAACAACCCTATCACATCCTTCCCACCCCTTCACCCAGACTTGACTTAAGCCCTATATACCCTACCTACATTATGTACACTGCACTGATGTGTTACATGCATTATTGTTGTGTGTGAGGGTGTGCAGACCCTTGATCTTCAAAGTACGATGCACTCACTCATGCTCACCTAAGCCCTAGACTGATGATGCTTGGTATGATTCAACGGCCTCAGGAATTTGGGCTGAGCTGGGTTTGAAACTGTGGAGAGCTAGAATCGTGTTCTTGGTTTATTATCATTATGCATGCATACAAGGATTGTTATGCGGGTAGACTTATGCCATGTATGTACCCGACCATGGCCGGCAGGATGATGATACTTGTATCCAGGCGTAATTATAATACGGGATGATTATAGAGACTTTCTCTCCCCCCCCGGCCAAAAAACATCTTGTGAATGATGGATGTTCCCAGAAAGAAAAAAAGAGAAGGGCTGGTGTGCGTGCAAGCTGCGTGTGTTGGTTTACGTACGTAGCTCAGTGAAATATGTGCGCAACGCAACGCAACGTATGTGTATGTACAGGTTTGATTTTGAATTTCTAGAATACGAACTTTTAATTAATAGCCCAGTCGAGCCCGAGCTCGCATGTTTGTTCCGAATTATGCACTGCGGACTGACTGCTTGGGCGTTTAGGCGTGCTACGGAGTTTCTTTCCCAGGTTTTCTCCAGTATGTGGGGAAAGATAACCGGGTGCTTCAATGACGCCACCAGTTGGAGATGGTCTACGGGGATATCTTTGTAAGGTGTGGATAATATACTCAGTGTAAAGAGATGATATGACTGTAACCGGCCGCCTGTTTGGCTGTCCGTGTTTGAAACTCGGTGGATTTTGTCACTAATCACAAAAGACAGCTACACATGTAATCCACATTCATGTCTACGCAATCCATTCCCAATGCCATGAGTTTTCAAGAAATTACCCTTCGACCGGTGATGAGATAGGCCTAGTGGGGATTGCTGCGAAACAATAACCACATATAGCTACAATAATAACTCACGATAGTGGTATGTTGTAGTTCTCTTTTATTCCATGCAAGCCCAAATTTCCATCTGAAATCTATTTCCCAGCATATCAATAGATTAGATTGAAGTGTAGTCACGGATAAAATTTCCAATACCGTTGCATAATCGGACAGGCTATTTTTGTGATTGGGCATCTAATTCGTCATGAACTATCACTCGAGATACCGTCGGTAAACCCTGTCGAATCAGATATTTATCCTTATCGCGAATCCACTACCCCGGGATGATCCAGATGGCGGGGCGTGCGCTACAGTAGCTGAACTTCATATAATACTAGAAGTGCATATTACCCCACGCCCCAATGAAGGCCCCCAATCTCCCCACATGATAATCTGCGGTTGACTCGGGAGACTTGATAGGATCTTACAACATGGTATTGGCAGGAATTCCTATCGAGCTTCCATATCGTAAAGTTTTTTCAAGCTACTCGAGATGTAGGTGAAAGATTGGTTGATCAACACTGTGTGAGTAAGCATCACCCTGAATCAAGTGATCGGGTATTTATGATAGAACTGCGGGGAATTTTTGTGCAGGTGAGACATAGGGTTCCTTACGACCGGGAATAATGATCCATGGGACATTCATTCCAATATAGTAGACGTAAAAGTAGAAAGGTTCCGGACGGCCTAAGGAGTCCATACAAGGTCAGATACCAGCAAAAAGGGGCTCGTTCAAGCGACCTGGTGCAATACGGCTTCGCGTATCGTACAATATCCCAGGGAAAAAGATGAACATACAGTGACGATTTCCATCAAGCCACGATGTTGCAAAGTACATGAGACATCCATAGATATGAGCTAAGCTCGCCAAGAGCTGGAGTGGGTGTCTATAATAACTTTCTTTTACGATAGCTCTTGAAGTCAGAAGACATAGAGGGCCCCATAGAATCTAAAAGTTTCCCTGCATTAGTCTCGAGCTCGCTCCAAAAATCCTGTTTCAAAGCAGTGATAATTTACGCGACGAATAGATCACGTACAATAGTTATGCTCTCGATAGCAAGAACAAACTTGTCGCCGGAGAGATAACGCGAGTCAGAAAGTGAATATTCCTTCCATAGCTGAGCGGGAAAGTCTGTTCGAGTCGATAGGGTCGCATGATGGACGAGAAAATAGCCTTTCCCAAATGAGTATTGGAATTGCAAGCTGGCCGGCGGAGCTCAAAAATACAGGCTCAATATTTACCCTCGAAGAAAACATGCAACAATCCACCTAACACACAATAAGTCTCATGATCAAACCACAGAATTCGGGATTCCATCACTAACAAACCAAAAACCAACTAGTTATTCCTTTATCTTTCGATGACAAATGTCCGCCCCATAACATTAGGTGGCTGCCAACAACGGCGGCCAAAACACTCCCAAAGGTCGCACACAATCTGATGGACGAGGCATCATTAGCGATAAAGTCAGGGAGAAAGAGTTCTGGAGGGTTGTAGGGATGCATTGAAGGGGTATAGCAGGCGAAGGTTCAATTGAATGTGTATATGATGGTTATAACTGCTAACTCTCCTAAAACCTTAGGACACATAAGCTTTTCGTGGGGCTGGTAGGGGGCCTGGATGAGGCTCAAAGGCTTGGTATTCCTTGGCTGGACCATAATAACCATTATATAAGGGATGTGAATACTAGATACATATTCCCAACCTTCCTATCGAAGACTGCCCATTGGTAAGATTCCGAACTAAGAAAGTTTTGCCTACGAATAGAACTGTCCCTGCCCAATTCATGAAGTTGAAAGCAGGCAACCGACCAGATGGCCTATTGAACTCTTCAGGAGCCCTTCGTCGAACCTCTGAGCTCAGCGGAAACGTGATCCTCACTGTTGCCTAAATCCAGCGGCAAGAAGTGCCTGAATCCCCAGGAAATGTATTCAGACCTTTCGGGACATCTAGCCGAAATATACATGCGGGGGAACATGTGGCCAAATCCTATGCGGATCTTAACCTCTGGCGGGGACCCGGAAAGACGCCAGAACACTATAACTACATAGAAGCAGTGTTCGTATTCAAACCTTCAGCTCGGTTTATGATACATGTGTTGTACTGGTAAAAAGGTATCGAGACAAATGGTCATGTGAGTCACGATGATCCAAAACTTATAACTCTTGACGTTACCTCACCCAAGTACTGCACTTAATAAATATCCTAGACGAAGAACCATTACAGTCGAAGGCATGGTTGAATCGAAAATATGTTGGAAGAGGTCACAAGGCGATTTTCTGTAGAGATTACATATGTAACCACTCAGTGATTGAGGACCGGATTTGGCAACAGTGGAACTTGAGTTTCTCATCAATTAGATATGTGCTAAATATCATCAACGTCTAAAGCATGCCCATGTGAGGAGTAGCTACTGGCCCTTTTCGTTTATTTTTTTTTATCTGTGCTGCGAAGGAGGGTTCCACTTTATATACGGATATCAACTTCCCGTTGCAATCCTAGCCTTCAATGAAATCAACTGTCAAGCTCCCGAAAGCCTGCAGATCATTGCCGATCTATTACCCTTAGGATGATTTAGGACACAAGGGTAAAAAAATCTCCCATTACCATTTCTTTATTTTTTGTATTTGAATTTTCCAGAAGAGGTTTAATAATCTTTTTGGCGTTAGGACTGAATAATTAGGAGTTACGCGGTGGCCTGTCGATCCACAAAACTTATAAACCAGAAACAATTCCTCAATAATCCCAGAATTTCCAGTACCGGCGTTGAAATTTCGGCAAGGCGAATAAACGCCTGATGTCCAAGCGCCGGGATTTCTTCTATCCACAATCAAAGTCTAGGATCCTTGTTTTCCTGTCTAGAATCTAGCATCGAAGCTTGCATGTCGATCAATTTATGCTTCTATCTGTAACCGTTACCACCTAGTGTGTAGCCGTGCGCCGGTCCTTTACTATACGTTTCACCTTATTACTATAGCTTCACATATTATAGACCAGACGAACCACCTCTCTCGGAAACCTCGGTGTTTGACGGCGGCTTCAAGGCCCTAGTCCCCGCCCGAGTTCCGCGCCTTTAACATCTGCTGATATTAAAGACTTTAGTAGTTGGCGTTCCAATTAATAGTATAAATGGCTTGCCGTTTCTCAAGATCTATCTCCCTAAATTCCTCAAAGTACCTGTAAGTCAGTAATATTCCATCATGCTCAAAGTCACTCTCCTTCTCACCGTTCTCGCTGGACTTGCCTCCGCCCACCAGAACTTTCACCAGCTCTGGGTAAACGGTGCCACCACTGGGTACGAAAAATGCATCCGTATGCCCCCTTCCAACAACCCCGTGACCGATGTCACAAGTAACGACATAACCTGCAACGTCAACGGGAATGCCACCCCGTTCACCTCAGTCGACGTATGTACTGCCAATGCTGGTGACGAGATCACAGTACTGTGGGATTTGTCGTCTCACCCGGGCCCGATCACACACATGCTTTACGGGCCGGTGTCAGACGCACAAAGTGCGACGGGTATTGGAAGCTGGACCAAGATTGAAGAGACGGACCAGGTTGATGGAGTGTGGGCGAATGTTATTATGGAGGGCAATGGTGGAATGCATACGTTCACCCTGCCAAGCAATTTGGCTAGCGGAGATTATCTGGTGCGTAAACTGAAAAACCTTAATTTCAATGAGTGAGTGCTAATGGAAACGTTGCAGTTGCGTTCTGAGATGGAGGCTTTACACTCATCCACAACTCTGGGAGGAACTCAGTTCTACATTGGTATGTTCCAACCCTCAACCTCCTTATGTTAAATCAATGCTAACAGATGGATTTCAGGCTGCGCTCAACTAAGAATCACTGGACCAGGAGGCAGCTGTTCTCCTACCATTACCCTTCCAGGCGATTACCAGGTAAATACCAAACCCCATAACTCTATCCAGCCCGCATATACTGACACATATACTAGGCTTCTGATGACAACATTTATATCTCCGACTTCTACTACGGCTTTGATGCAGCCACTTTCACGGCCCCTGGAGGCCCTGTAGCTACTTGTACATAGAGTGCTAATTCGGTGGGATATCTGATGACGTGAGTAGCTGGTGCAGGCGCGGGTACGCCAAGGGGCCGGTATAGTAATGTACATTGATCTCAGAATTCTTGTTTATATTGCAATTACTTTTAAAATATCTTCGTTCAATGGTTTTATCATACGTAGCTGGCGAGGAATCTCTACGTACTTTCCGTCGGACAGACCCTACCTACAAGTCATTCCAGGACGTATGCGTGATATGTAGAGATGTGTCCCGTGAGGTATCTATGCCGTTTAGAGGTCGTTCTTCGGTCTTGTCTAGCGAATGGAGGTAAGGAAGGTACATACTGTCAAGCTATGATATCGGTCTCGTGAGCCGTAATATCACTTAACACCGCCGATCAAGTCCCAAGGCGGTGTCGTACTAGTATGATATTGGAACTGTTGTCTGCTACATGCGAGTAAACTGGCTGTAGACACATATATATACTAGCTCCATTGGGTTGTAGTTAACACCTACTCCAAGCCCCTCAGACACATTCGCTACTACATAGTACTAGAAATTAACTTCTCATTGAGCACTGTAAGTCTGTCGTTCTTTCACTAGTCAGATCCTTCTTTTATCTTCTTTCCTACTAGCCTAGCCACCGACTTACAACGTCCAGGTAATGTGGATATTTGGTGAACCAACTGATATATGAACGTGCTCGGGTCATGATTGGTAAAAGAGGCGAGCCCCAGGTTTCGATAGTCTGGACTGATAGGGGCTTTTCTCGGACATGAAGATTGAAAACATACGGGTCCTGTGTATTTTAAGGGGGCTTTGTGACAAAGGAATTGATTGAGGTTAGGTTGGGTGTAGAAGCGCGTACAAGGACGCATTGCTAGAAGTAAAAGGTGACAGGGAAAGAAATGAGAGTACGTGCATGTATGAGAAGCCCCTTCTTTGCTTTTTTTACACTTTCCTGGCGCAATCGCAAGTCATAGTGCCAGTAATGTGGCTTCCGGGTACAACTCACAACAATCGTTATAAGGGCAAAGCCCCGAATCTTTTGGCATGCCTTATCAACCAGTATTTGTTTTGTTTCGGTGCATTTTATCGTGAGCGTTATATATATTGGACACCGGAGTCAGATAGATAGGCTTAGGTGTCAATGATTGAAACACGCCTTATTTCCGCCTCTTGGCAGTGATCTTATGTGATGGGAGGCGCTAGCATTTTATCTCCTACTAACCACCCCCACCTGGGATGTCAGATTGGTACGGTCCGGGAGTAAGCATATGTGTACTGGCATAATCCAAAGCAATATCGGTTAATGCGTCAGTGAAATGTGTAAACTCGCTTCGGTCAATATCACTATACACCTTTCCCTAGCTGATGCTTTACCCCGATGATTTCCGGGCCCACGAATATGCGGACGGGTGCATTTCTTGAAGGTTACATACCCGAGTTTTCCAACTCTTGCATACGTATGAGGTGTTTTTATGTACCGTTTTACAGATTTCATTTTTATTAAGGGCTCATTAATCTCAAGATCTTGAAATGTAGCTTTACGGAAAACTACCACCGAAGAATATTTGTATCAGGAAAGGAATCAGGATAACGTATATTCGTGGGAATGCATCAGGGAAATGCGAATAACACCAGGAAATGTGTAGATTGGAATCCACCCTGTACCAGTTTGTAGGCATACTGATTAAAACAACACCGCAAGCATTTCTAAAGTAGCCGGGGGGAAAAAAAACTTCAGACCATTGAAGATATTAAAATGTAATATATCATATTTTCAGGCTGGTGATTTTGGCAGACGTCTGCGACATCAGTTTCCGAGTGATGGGCTATGTCTGTATTAAATATGTCAACGTTTATTGCTCGGGAGTCACCAGATTAGTGGTACCAATCATAATGGGCCAAGATAGTTTCTCAATTTTCGCTTAATATAGAGAGAATAAGTCTTATGGGATATAGTTGCAGTGTGTTTACTGCACATAGATCGCACTGTGTATATAGGAAAGCCGATGTCACGGCTGGTATCGAAGTCTACCAACATATCGCAGCCAAAACGCTGGTAAAACACGCCACATAAGAAACGCCAAGCTCTGACCACTGTTCAAGTTTCACCCCCTCCCTTCGACTACTTTACGACATAGGAATTGAAAAAGTACGGTGCCTATCGATTGAAAAGCTATCCGCCTAGTAGCAATCCTCAAGAGGGTCCCTAATCCAGTTAATACACCCGTTGTACTGACATCTATTCACGACCACATTAGCATCCTTCACTCCTACTACCACGACTTAAACAGTTGAGCAGCCATGATTAACATACTCTTTCACGTCCGCAATATACTCTGGGGAGCACTCCTTGTAGTTTGTGTACGTATTGCACGCATTATCCGGGGCATCACATTTCGTGCAGTGTTCGAGCGGGTCCCGGAACCACTGGATGCAACCTGTTACTTGGCACCTATGTAGACGGAGACATTAGAATTGTACGAATGGGCTGGGCGGGCGGATCTGTAATTAGATAACGTACGCTTTCAGTGTCTTGACATAGTCCGGCGAGCAGTCTGGATAGTTATTGTAGGTGTTGCACGGATGCGCTGGGTCACTGCATTCCAGATCACGACGCTGGAGCGACGCGGCCATGGAGACAGGGAGGGCAATGGCGAGGATGGTAAGGAAGTTTGGGAGCTGCATTTTGAAGACTGGGGGATGTGGTGTGTAGTTGTGGATTTGGGAGGGGGAACTGGGGACCTTTTATACCATGAATATTGGAGATTGTTGTGCAGGCGGGTAGCTGTATACGTATATGATAGAGCAATGTTCAATAATCGTACCTGCGTCTAACATAAACGTATGGGTAACAGCCCATACGACGGATTGATAGCTGATATCATGATGACAGGCAGGCCTGGACCGTTACCCTGGGTGCGCAGCCGAGGACGGGGAAGTCGATGCACGATCATGGCAACACGAGGTTTATTGGCAGGCATTAAAGTATTTAGGTTTGGTCTGATATTGCATTCCGGTTCAGTGATGCGTATATATTTCCAGAAGTGGAATTGACAGGGTGCATACTTACCGGGTCATTTATTATAGCCAGATTTGATATATGAAAAGCAGTGTCGTACGAATTGAAAGCGGTACTTATTCGTATTGAAGCAGATACATATAGTAAGGAAAGATACGAGCTCAATCGAAACGCATCGTGAAAGCCCATTTACTATTACCACTTAGTACGTATTCAAGGAATATCATTATAGTGTTGTGTAATAATATCATAGTATCTCCATTAAAGACCGCTAAGGGTTGGGTTGGGAATATTGCATACATGTACATGCAATAACGAATACGAGATAAATTTGCCTCTTGGCTTTCCCCACACCAGTCAAACTGGCTTAAATGTAATACAGTATTACTTTCTCATTGATTACTGGCGGCCAGTTGGTCGATATGTTTGTAATAGTACGAGAGCAAACCAAATAATAGAGATACCGCCAATAAGATCACATTCCAATGTGTACTTTTCGTTACCATTTCCGGAAAGGATAGCTCTCTAGCTCTCTGGCCCATTGCACTTCTAAAAGTCATTCGGATAGGATAAGCACAATTAGATGGCAACCAACCACCCGGCCGGCCCGGAAATTGTAAATGTAACTACATTCTAATCACCCGAAGTAGGTTGTCCAGTCATTAAATATAAGCTGACGGGTATGATCGTCGAATTATACGGCAGTAGCCTAGTTAGCTTGTGGACATTCATTCCAAAGACTCATATTCAATCACTCGGCAGGACTAGGATACGCTTGTAAGACGTATGTACAACTATACCACAAGCTAACCAAAGCATCCGCAGCTAAGGAGCAGGTTTCCAGTCCCTTTAATTCAACCCCTTCAATCCCTTCAACCCCTAATCGATAACACTCTAGGTGGGGACCGGTTGATCAATCTCTAACTACCGATGCGTGTGTAACGGTGGCACAAAAGGGGCCGAGCTAAAATAGAAGTCCTCAAATCACAATGCCAAGGCCGAGTCTCACTGTGTTTTCGTATCCCCTGCCCAGTTATATTCGATGTTCCTACATACACTATTTCTTAAATCAAGGGTCCGGGAACTGTCAAAGACTGGATTCTTAGGGAGGTTACGTACGGCTGGGGGTTTTTAGTATGATTTTTGATGACGGGATTGAGCAGTGTACATACGTGTATGTAAACAGTTCATCCTAGGTTCGATTCCGATGAGGAGGTAGCTCTGTATATTAGCATTCGCTTAAGTTATGAAAGAATCGGTTAGCCAGATGTAAATGCCATCAGCTGTTATCTGCGGCGTTAAATTGAAGATAGGCTCGTATATGTATATCATAACCGGCAGTAATATTGCCGATTATGCCCGATCCGGTTTGTCGTTAATTGGGGCTATGTATGTCTTCATGATGCTTGAGAGACCAAGGAGTGCAGATTACATAGCGCGTCAGTTGAATGTTCACGGTCTAGCGGATCAAGCTTAAAGGCATATGAGCCGTACTCTCGCGATGGTCGAAGTTTATTTAGAGCACATGTGTCCGTCTTACCGTACCCCCCTGCGGCGTTTCCTTCCCCCCGACCCCGACGATTCCCGGTTGGTTGCTCTCCACTCGATTCCGAACGAGTTGATTCGATTAAAACTATCTCACACCCGTGGTTCTATATATCCCTACTAGCAAAAGGCATTTCCGTACCGGTTATTTTTAAGCATCATTGAGAGTTGCTACCAGCCATACAATAAAAAAAAATCTCTTCAGTTTTTAATTTTTAATTTCACCTATAATCTAGGTGACCGCAGTGTGGCTTAATTAAAAGCCTAGCTCAGATGACAGCGAGGTCCAGAGGATGTGCGTCATCGAGACGCTGTATCTTGTTCAATTTTGCGTATAATCTTCTAGACTCCTTTCTCTCAGCCTTATCAACTAATCAAGTTATTAGCATAAATTCAGTTCCTCCAATAGGATTTTTTGGCGGTAAGGGTCCGGAACAAGGGGAAAGTGAGTGACATTCCATGATCCGCCGAATACCGAGTCTATTTTTTTTTTTTGTTTAATTCATTAATTGAATACCGGGTCTATGTTCATACTACTCATCAACTTTAGTTGGCGTTTCCATCAGCTTTCCGTCACAAATTATCTATTTCCAATAGGTGTTGACGAGAAGAGTCTCTGATGCTGACAAGGAATTTGAATAGAATATATACAAATCCGTTGATCGAGCCAGTAGGATATCGCACCAAGAAACGGTCGTCATATGGGCAACTTCCTCAGTCAGAACTCTCAGCCACAATAGCGAACAACTATGATAAAGATATCCATATTATGAACCAGTCACTAAGATTTACTTTTGAAGCAAGTATACACAAATTGTCCCCTAAACCCCCAATAACAGTAATTACAACATCCCTCGTTCCGTCCTAATCTGCACTCACGTACTAACAAACTACTTATCTACAAGCACTGTGAGTAGTAGTCGTTGACCTTTGTGCAAGTAGAACCAGCCTAAAACACACCATGTGTCAGCACAACACCCTTCCGAATCCGAGGGGGAGAAAACTTACCGAGCAAGTGTCAGTACCAGTCCATCCATTGCCACCACACTGTCCGTACTTGGCAATGTTGCCTGCAGCTGCGGCGCTTGAGGTGGCAGCAGCGGCGGTGGTCGTTCCAGTAGCGCTGGCAGTGGCTGAGGCAGTAGCTCCTCCAACGGCTGTTTGATAAAAGTGTTAGTATCTGCTTGTAGCAGCGGCCAGCTCGAAGCTGCCTTGGACTTTTATGTGTGTTTGTGTGGGAATGATGGCATAAATGCTAATTTATACAGGTTTCTTTTCAGGGAAAGGGAAAAAGTTTGAAAATATTTACGAACCATAGACCTGGGTGGTTGTTAGTATGTGGTTATATACACGGAGAGAAATGGATAGAGAAGAACTTACGGCAGGGCCAGGAACTGTGTATGAGGTGTAGCTGGCGTACAAGTTGAAGAGAATACCAGGGTCAGAGGCAGAGTAAGCACCTGGAAACAGGACACCAGCAGGGTTCGCGCTTCCACCACCTGTGACACGGAGCTGGTAGCAGGACAGGTAGAATTGTGCACCACCAGTGCTGCCTACATATCATCACCCTATATCAGTACCGCCTCTAAAATCACCGTTATCTTGAGAGGAAAGCTTACTAGCTACATGCAAGGCAATGACCTCCGCCCTCAACAAGTAATCACCCGGGGCGATATCCGCCGGGATGGTAATCACCTGCTTCCCGCAGTTTGCGTTCAACACATCAGTACCCCAGTAATCGGTTGAAACCAATCCATTCTGGTAGATCTTGAACCAGCTGCTGCTGCCATCAGCTGTGGTGGCATCAGACACCTTGGAGAGATACGCAATGACAGGACCGTCGTGATTGCCGCCGATGGCTTCGGTGGTGCATGTTCGGTCACCGGGCTGCTGGTGCATCTCAATCGTGACCGTTCCACCTGCAGGAACAGTGCATACTCCTGCTACTCCGGCAGTGCCAGCGTTGCAGCGGATATCCTGTGAGGCGTTAGTACCGTTCTTTGTTTTATTTTTATTTTAGCTGAACAGCTTTAAGAGCACTTACGTTGGATGTGACGCTGGAGACTGGGCTGTTGGATACTGGAGTGCGGACACAAGTGCTGCCTTGGTCAACACCGTTAACCCATAGCTGCTGGAAGGTGGCGTGTGCGGAGACAGAGGCGGCGGCAGCCAAGAGGCCGAGGACGGAGGTGGTCTTCATCGTGATATTAGATATGTGGTTTTTGAAGGAAGGTGAGAGAGAGTGTGAGATCGAGTGAGTACTGCAGAAACAGTTACAGACGGGGAGTCGGGCAGTATTTAAAGAAGTCCCATGATGATATTTTTCTTCTTCTCCTCATTCTTCTTTAAAGGTATAGTATGGTATGATATTGATTGATTACACTGATTCGGATTACCACCTTCTTCAGGTAATACCATAAACTTTCGGAAAGAAAACAGACGCTTCCATAGCGCATATATGGCACAACCCCATGGAGCATCCGCTTTGGGCGGCTGGTAATATTAAGGGAGCGTTATAAGAGCAACAATAAATTGTATGTAAGTACATGTAAGTATACATCTAATTAGCACACCCTAGCTGAGGATCCGAAACCGAGGGGACGGGGTAGAGAGGAGGGGGAGGCACCAAAGTGAGTGCTAGTTAGCTGTCAATGGTCACAAAAACCACTTTCAAAAGGTCTATTACATAAACTCACTATAGGCGGAACCAGCAGTACTGCAATCCCGTAACTTCGGGCCCGCAAACCCGACAGCTGCCCATATACCCCGGACTTTGGTGCGTGGCCAGGAACCACACAGTTGTCAACCTAAAACCCAACGTTATGCTCAGGGATGTTCGGAATCAACGGCCTATATTGCCAATGCACATCCCTGGACGAAAGGGGGGACAGTATTAACCGCGCAGCCAAGCTCGTCTGTCCGACGGTCCGGCTGGGGAAAGGAACGTTGATATAGATGAATTTTCACAACCCACAACACGCAAATCCCACACCACAGCGCAATTGTGTGCCCTTTGTTGCTACACGAGAGTCCTGTGATGCTGCAGTGCCACGCGGGGGCCCGGGACCGGATCATGAAGAATTCGCGGGCCAACTGGGCGTCGGGGAAGAAAAGCAAAAGTGACGTCAAGAAAGAAGCTTCGAGGCTGAACATTGCTTATTGGAAATCTATGCAATCACCAGTCTAGATTAACTCCTCTCGAATGGTATGCATAATTATATGCGCACATGAGCACCCTTGCGACATGCTCCTCAAGAGTGCGTATATGCAGGTCACGTGAGGCTCCCTTGTAAGTAAATGCTAGCGCACAGACAGAAAAGAATTAAGGATAAGGATAAAATACTTGTCCCATGTGGTTTCATCTACACGCTGTCCAAGAGTGCTCTACTCTAGGTAAACCCAAGATTCCTAGGTCGCGCCATTTCAAAAAGCTAGGGCTGGGGGGCTGGTGATGTCGAGATTAACTACAACCTAGATACAACTAGTAGTAAAACGGTTGAAGTAAAAAACTCAGGAGAGAAAAGTCTGAGCGGCGGCGCGCGGTAAGGATTAGTAACTTGAGTACGTACTCTACTTTAAATACCGCTTTGGCATGGTCTAACATATGCATAAATTGATGAAGAGAAAGAGGCTAGTCTGGGTGGCTTATTGCTAGCTAAATACATGTAGTCCTTGTTTTATTTCGCGCTGCTGGGGAGAGGAAAGGTTAGTGCATACTTTAAATGTACCTCACATATTTAATTAGGGTGTGAGTTGTCGCTCGTGATCGATTGTCGGTGCGGACTGGAGACTTAATTACTTTCAAGTTGATCAACTTGTTGTATTTTCTCGAAGGAGAGAATTTTTTCTTCTTTTTCATTGAAAGGTCTTTAGGCTCTTTAATGATTAACTCCTCACGGGTTTGTTCTCCGCTGCGGTTTCTTCGATAAAGAGTTGTGTTTATTAAGTAGCGACCGTTCCTAAAAGTACGCTAGCAATGTATTCTCTAGGCACAGTCGGTATGGTATTCTCTAATTCTTGCACCACCGATCATTTCCGGCCACCAACCACAACCACGTTCATCCATCCATCCCTCTGTAGTCCTCCTCACACCTACGACTTGAAAAGTTCAACCGCGTCATAAATCTACAACAGACAAACCGTCAGTAAAATGGCTCATATAAATCCATCATCCGGGAAAGGAAAACTTACGAAGTTGGGACTCAAAAACATATCTCCCGAGCTCCCCGACACGGCATTGATCGTGATTGTGTTAGTTCCAGACACGATAGTTCCCGAAGGAATGGTATAGTCGTAACTTTCTCCGTATCCTCTATACGCGCCCCTTGTCAAACCTCTCGAATCAATCTTTGTCGGCGCCGCCGGCGTGCTGCTCGACCACCCATTGACCGTGATCGACGGGCGGGCACCGGCAAATGCAAGGGTTGTCCCGATCCTAAGTATAAAGGTTCCGCTTATACTGGTGGTCGAGAATTTGATCGTTGTTGGGTTGTTGACGGCCACGACCTGGGCCATCGGGAATGCGTCCGTGCCGCTGCTGCCAACAGTGTATGTAAGCGGGCCCCAGGATGCCATGCGGCTATCAGTGGGGTGCATGCGGAGCTGGTTATCGGCGTTGCGGAAGCCCGTGGGGCGGCCGTTAAACTCGCCGATACGCCAGACGGTGCTGCGGGTCCCTTCTGTCGAGGCAATGGTGCCGGAGGCGGTAGTGGAGCCTGCAGAGACGGTAACGGACTTTGTGGCAACTTTGAGCTCGTCCTTGTATAAGACCATGGTGTAGGTGCCAGGCTTCATTGGTGGGGAGGTGAAGGTTCCCGAGGACGAGGCATAGGTCCAGTACTGAGCGGCGCTGTTGTACCAGTGTAGGACCGTCTGGAAACCGCTGGGGATTCCGGTCGCGGTTCCGCTAACGTATCCACGGGAGGCGGTGGGCACGTAGCCGCTGATGCCGAGGGTGCTGAAGAAAGAGGTATCGAGAGAGCCTGAGGGCTCGCCGGAGCGTGAGAAGACAAGTGCGTACTAAGGGGTGTGGTTTGAAGCATTAGCAAGGGTGATGATTGGATTATGGGTTTAAGAGTGGGAAGCTTACGGGGCCGTGGAGACCAAGACGGGCGTCTTCGGTGCGCACATGGCCAGAGTTCATGTACCAGTAGAGCGCGTGGTAGTCGCCGCCATTGTTCTAGGGGGTTTGTTAGTCTGGCTTGGATGGCTATTGGGGGGGGGTGGTTTACGTAGTTGATGTCACGCATGAAGGGACCACCGGCGGAGGTCTCGTAGGCGGTTGGGTCGGGGATCACCATACAGGCCTTTGCGTCCGTTCCGTAGATGCCTGCGTGCATTATATTAGTCCAGATCACTTTCAGCTAATCAAGCATAAGTTTAAAATACTCACAGTGAACTTCATCGTCAATGAACCTCTCGCTCGAGTAGAATTTGCTTCGGGTCTGTCCATTGACGATAAACTGCATAAACACCCATATATCAGCCTATTGCCCTCTTTCTCACTAAAGTTACACCAGAGGGAGAAAACAAAAACATACCACATCACTTCCCTCAACCGTACTCGTCGAGCTCGACGTATCTGCGCCCAAGTACTCCGCTGACGGGAGATATGTGCTCTCGAGCCTAGCAATGAACCTCAACTCGCCAACTGACGGGTGTGCTGTGACATATGTCGCCATGAAAATGGTCGAGTCGCCATCACGCACAACATAGTACTGGGTAAGTCCGCTAGCCACAACGGTTATCTTTACATAGCTGCCAATGGTGCTTGCTGAGACAGTGGCAGTTCCGAGGCCAGAGTTGATGTGTGAGTAAGGACTCTGCTGCTGCAGCTGCACGCCGCGGTAGAGAATGGAGGTGATGTCGCCATTGGCCTTTGCAACCTTGAAGATGAGGGGATTAGCAGAATTAGCATCGACTGTGAAGTGCGTACTATCGGAGGTGTAGCCAAAGGCAGCGTGGGCGAGCGGGGCGAGGAAGCCGAGGAAGGCGAAAACAAGTTTGAGGAGCAGCATCTTGAAGCGCTGACGGGCTTGATGATCCAGGAGTAGTGGGCCATTTTGGAGAGGGGAAGAGAGCGTTTTATACCACTGAATGGGTTCTTGATACTCTTATTCATGAAGCTATATGAGGTGAGTGGTATAATCATTGGCGTTTTCATAAGTTCATGTTTCATTCTTGTACCCCAGACACCCACGCCGCGGGCCGGCACTCCAGGCGAGGCCGGAAGTATTTAAGCTTATTTCGGACATTTGTCTCCCCTGATGCGAGTATCTTCAGGGCCCTTGTGTAACACTGGCCGCAGGGGAATACAGAGGTGCGGCTTCCGGAGCACTTGGCAATACAGGGCTGACCTCTGAATAGTGAATACCAAGCGTTTTATGAGAGGCTTATTCGGACGTAGATAGACCGAGTGTTGTTGTTGCGGATTAGTTGCCTTATCGCTGGGGAGCTATTAATGCTCCTGCTCCTTCTTGTTGAGGTTTTTGCGTGCAGCCGCGTGATGTTCCGTGACGAGGGCTTAATAATTGGGCTAGATTTGGAAGAGGTAGAAGCGAGAATTGAAAGGAGGGAACACCGCTGTCAATAAGCATTACCAATACAGCGGATATTTAGAAGTGGGGATAGGCAGCGCAAGGTGGTGTATCACTTATTAGTTACATAGGATTTGGTTGGGGATTGGCACAGCTGGGGTTCGGTTGGGTTAACTATGCCCTAATTAACGAACAGTAGGAATATTCACAACGTACAACGTCGTCTAGGATTATCGAGTCGAGTCAGACCTCGGCCTCGAATATCATGCATACATGCTGATAACGAAAACCCACACAACTTCAGAGTTGGTCAGGAATACGGGAATGTATTTCCGAGCTGTGTATGAGACGGGGACTGGTATTATTAAAGCCGGTTCTGTCCAGTTAAGGGAGATAATTCGAAATTATTGCATGGTATAATGATTTGATTATGTACACAAGCTAGAGAGATGAAAGAGCATGTCCTTTAATGAGAAATTTAAAGGCAGAGAACACGCATTGTGTGCGTATAATGAGAGTTGTCCGATATTGTTCACAGAAAGGACAAAAGGACAAGTAGCAATGAATGCACACGACGTGAAGAATTAACCCATAATGCTGCATGTACCCTGCTGCTCGTCTCTACGGTGCAGATCTTACATGTAGTTGAGGGTGGTGATCAGCCGATCCGGTATCTGAATTGACTGGAATTTAATCTGTTCTATATACGGGTATATATATTGGGAAAGTAAGCGGGACCGTGAAGGCTTACTCAAATGAATAATACCAATAAATATTCCACTAATATATATGTATGATACTGATAAATATATACGTATAAACAAAAGCGGGTAGGTGGAGCTCTACCGATCCCTCAGAAAGTACAAGCGGAGATCCACACGGAGAGAAAAGAAGAAGAAAAAAAAGGGGGGGGGGGGGGCTCGGTGTAGTAGGATTAACTTTTAAGGGAGAGCGGGAAACTACCATACTTATATGTAGGAAATGTGAGCGGGATCCCCATTCGCAAACTGCACCGTTACCTTAATATCTCTGTGAGGATGTGAGACTGTAGGGGGATATTTGGTCCCTCCATATACATAGTGGCTACATGTTGGGAAGCATTCCAAGAGTGAATCCTATGGAGGGTTGGTAGCTGGCTGGGCATGAGAGATCTAGATGAAAGTGGTATACCGACAGCAATGTCCCCCCAGCTCTCCTTCTCATCATTGCCTCAGTCCTTCTACCCTCCATCTCCCCGCAATATAGCAAGATGAATTTACTTGGTAACAGTTTAAACTTGCCTCTAACTATGCATCCGTCGTGGCGCAGCTTTCTCGGTTAGGCATGTCAGAACACGAAGTCTTAAGGGTCACATAGCAGGTTAGAGGCCAAGACACATATGTCGAGCATATGTGGCTACGTAGCCTACGAGCTAATGTTACCGAGAAATATAACCAGCATCTCTCCCATCCTGGAGTGACGAGTCAGAACATAGAGAGACTGAAACGTTCAGTAAAATAGACTTACATCATCCCTCGCAGCAACAGAGAACTTCGGTGGGAGGGATAAATCCACCTCATCCTCTTCATATGTCTATGGGCAGTATTACAACCTGCCGGCAAAGAGATATATCCGAGCCCGAAGATGGAAAACAAGCTCAATTCGACGCAACACCTATCCGGATGCTGTGAACACGAGAGTTCATGAACTCAAAGAATGTGGATGATGGAATAGAAAACACGTAAGACGCTCACCCTATGGCTGGGAGGGTTGAGATATCTCTTCGCTGACTACATGTATCACACGAACCTGTGGGGACTCGAGGGGCTTTCCTCACCCGCTCGAGAACATCGAGTGAGCTACCATGAGCTAAGCTTTGGCGAAAAATCGATATATCCAAGGGGGACAGTCCTCCAATAGTTATGGTAATGACAATGGTACCTTCTATTTATATCTAGGTAGAATCTTATAACACATACGCATATGGATATTCTTTATGTTTACTTTGATATAAACAAAGAGACCTCCGAGAAATGCTACATGCACTGAGTGGCTTTACACCAGCTTCAAGGCCATGTAGATGGTTCATGGAGAGTATGAGATGATATTTATGGTTTCTAGTATAGTAGGATGCTTTACTACATCGACATCAGCCGAGAAATCAAACGAGTGATGTCTCGTGATGAGGACTTCACGTTTCGCTTCTTCTGCAGATAAGACTAGCAGGTGTTAGAGAGAGCCATAGTTTAGTTAGTGAGTAAAACTAGTCAAATATCTTGCTCTTTGAAATCTTCATTACTAACGAGTCTGCCATCATTACAACTATCACGATACCGTACTACTATAAATATTATAAACAGAACAAGCAAGAACCCCATTACGCTAATTAAAAGTACGCCAGAACACCCTCAAAAGAAAAACACCAAATCACTCACTACCGACTCGACTGTTGTATCCCGTCAAAGCCACACCAATCCTTCCCACCTATCTTTACATCCACAAACTCCTCGTTTAACCTCCCACTTCCATCCGCCGCCGGCGGGCTTTCCGGGGTTTCTCCCGGCCAGCTCCTTACACTCCCTCTCACCTCACCAAAATCATAGTCTCTCGTCGGCGAACCATGCCTCCAACAGCTCTCCGATATGCCCGATCCCTCCGGGATTCTTTCGTCTGGGCGGGTCCCCGTGAAATATCTATCCACCGCTCAAGTCAGTACTCACTGTTCACAGTACGATACACATGTTTGATAGTTGGGGAAACTCAAGGGGGGCGAAAACATACTCCTCCCACCACTTATAATTCTCATACCCGCTTTCCTGGCCCTCCCAGCGTTTATACGTATTCTGCGCCTTGTCTACTTGATCTAATATATGATGCCCCTCCGGCGGAATGCGTCGCTGACACTCCTCGGGCCCATGGCGCTGGTAGAACATATCAACGGCATGGCCCATCTCATGAATAAAAACCTCATCAAACTTTCTAAACCCCTCGTCCCCACCAGGCATCGGAATCCAGCAGTGCCCAAATCCAGTGTCGCCAAATACGTCCCCCTCGACCTGCCCCTCGCTGTATCCACACGCGGCTCTCACATTCCCGCCGAGCCACCTTCCATCCCCGTCATTGGCGGCCTGGTTTATGGTAACTACGCCGTCGTAGCGCTCGCCAGTAGATGCGGCAACCCGTGCGATGAACGGCGCGAGATCGGAGAGTTCAGGAAAATAACATATTCCAGGCCCGTCTGGGCAGTTGTGGGAGGCGTAGGTGAGTGGTGTATTAAAGGTAGCGAGCGTGGTGTGGAAAGTGGCCATGCCGGCGGAAGTGTTTGAGATTATTGAGGCGAGATTGCGGGAGAGGCGAGGAATAGTAGAAAGGGCGCTAGGGCTGATAGTACCCGTATGATAATATGGCTGCGGGCCGGAGACGGCGGTGGTGGTGTGTGGGAAGATGAGGAAGAGCCAATTCCAAACTGCGACGGCGCGTGTGTGCGGCAAGAGCGAAAGGGATAAGAAGAGTAGTAGGATATTCATTGTGGGTCGTTATGGGGCGAATTCAGTGTCGATATTTAGTTGCTTTGCTGAAAAGTCCCTCCTGCCATTGTGGAGTAGATGGTTGTATTTATGAGATACTCAAGCTGACATTTCCCTAGTGCTATGAAGAGCTGGCTGGTACCTTTTACAGAAGGCTGGCTAGTTCGTCCCAGATCTCCATTTTGGCGGCGGCACAAAATCGTAGATCTCGTAATTAATATATAACGGTGGCTGCGATACTGCCTGGGCCATCATCACTATCGAAACTAATAGTGGGCCATAGGGGTGGCATATATACCAATGGCTGGGCCACATCCAGGTACGAGAGACACAACAAAGGGGCAAAAATGCAGAGAATGCGCAGAAGAAATTGATTGCGGAATGTTGATGTCGATGCATATGTTGATCGATCAGCCCTCTGGTATGCATCCCACTCCTGGTAAAGAGTAAAGACACTAATAATTGTGGGGTTGGCTACTATACATCACGGAAAGCCACCGTGGAAAAAAGTCTCGTGGGCTATCGTGAGTCTTGGGTGTATATATCGAGACCATGGTATCTGTCGCGCCATGGTCGATAATATCGTCTCGAGAAGTACTATGTATCATTGACACTGCTAGCGCTCGTTATGTATGAGTACATAGCATCACTAATATTAATAATATGTACCCAGGGCTAGGGTTTGCCGATTATTACAACCGCCTAAAATAGCTAGCCCAACAGCAACCGGGGAACAGGAAAACCTCCCGCCGCCCCCAACTAGATCTACACGCATGGTCGTATTGAAAGAATACTTGTAACCCCGCAGGTGCTAATATATAAAATCTACCATTCAAGTCAAAACCTCACAAATCAGCAGAGTGTGTCTACAAAATATTTCAGCCAGCGCCGCAGTCAATGACCAAGAACCCCCCACCTCCCGCACCAACACCCCCAAAATGGAGTTTTTTGAAAGTACTCTCACAGACGGACATCTCGCCGCCTCCCCGCACAACCCCGAAACCTCCACCACCCTCCCCACCAATATTCATCTCGACCTCCCTATCCCCGACCCACACCTCGGCTTCAACGAGCGCACTACGCAGTGGGTACACGACAACACATGGGTTTATACTATAGCCTTCAACCGCACCGAGGCCCTTGATGCCAGAGTCTGTCTTGTGTTCGAGGGTCTCGACACGTTCGCTACCGTCTCACTGAACGGGACGCGCATTCTGGAATGCCAGAACATGTTTCGTAGTTACAGGGTCGATGTGACAGACATCGTTAGTATGGGGGAAAATAAGGTGGTGATGGAGTTTCGGAGCGCGCTGAAGGAGGGTGACCGAATTATGGCGCAGAACGGTGGTGAGAGGGTCACGTGGAATGGACATTATTCGAGGGTGTTTGTGAGGAAGGCTCAGTATCATTATGTGGGTATTGATTTTTTTGAATTGCTCATGATACTGATACACAATTAATCAATCCTTCTAATGATATTAATGATATGCATTATTAGTACTAACACAGCTTTACAAGAACTGGAGCTAATTGAATAATTCTAGGGCTGGGACTGGGGCCCTTCACTCATAACCTGCGGCCCCTGGAAACCTATTCGTCTCCAGATCTACACAGACCGCATCTCCAACACTAAGATCGAGCAAGCCCTCAGCGCCGACCTCAAAACCGCAATTCTGACCCTTATCGCCACCACTGAGACTATCTCGTCCCAGGGGGCTATACTCTCACCACTACGCTCCTCTCTCCCTCTGGGCAAGAAACTAGGCTAACCCTCACACCTGCCTCCACTGCAAATACCTGGGAAACTAAACATACCCTCACCTCCCCCGAGCTATGGTACCCGCACCAGCATGGCCCCCCAAATCTTTACACCATAACTTTCACGCTCAAAGCTAGTGGAAACGCCGCTTCCACCCCGGGGCCCCTCCATACCGCCCACAAACGCATAGGTATCCGCAGAATCCTCCTCATCCAGGATCCTCTTCCACAGCTCCCCGATACCCCTGTCTCCGGCGGCACAACATTCTACTTCAACATTAACAACACCCCCCTCTTCATAGGCGGCTCCAACTGGATCCCCGCACACTCCTTCCTCCCCGCCGTAAAGACACAAACCCTCCACAACCTTCTATGCCTACTCCGCGACCGCGGAAACCAGAACATGCTTCGCATTTGGGGCGGAGGCGTCTATGAGAGCGACGAGCTCTACACGCTCTGCGACGAGCTTGGCATCCTCGTGTGGCAGGACATCTGTCTTGCTTGCGGCGACTACCCTGCGCATCTAGACAGCTTTACCTCCGAGATCTGTGCGGAGGTGCGCGAGAACCTGGAGCGGCTGCGGTGCCATCCGTCTTTGGTGATTGTGGCGGGTAACAATGAGGACTACCAGGTAGCGGATGAAGAGCTAGGGTATGACGCAAAGCAGCCGGAGGGAGAATGGAGAAATAGTTCGTTCCCAAGTAGGTGGCTATACGAAAAGATCTTTCCGAATATTATAAGGGATGTTTGTAATGGAAATACGGGCGCGGAGATTGGGCAGGCGGGTATTGATGGGACGGGAGTGGTGTATTGGCCAGGAAGTCCATGGGGAGGTGAAGATAGTACAGATCGGACAGTGGGGGATATACATCAATGGAATAGTATGTTTTACCCTTCCTATTTAATGATTGGACTATTGGAGTGCCTACTGGATTTATTTCGGCATGGAGTAAGGCCGAGCGTACTCGGTGTGGCCGGGCGAGCACCAAGATTGGATGTAATTCAAATCGAGTCTTTATATTCACCCGGCCATACCGCTCTACTCCTTACCTCGCCCAAGTAATATTACTCCCAATTCTCGATATAAAGATACAGCCTAGAACAGGGGGTTGTACAAGTATTATGGGAGGCACCAGAAGGCCTTGCACATCCCAGCCTCCCAAAACCCTCCTTTCCAGGCACATCCTTATATCGAGAGCCCAATTTAAACACCTCTGACACATGCATACAGTTTGGGGCGGCCTTCAAGCACCCTACCAGCGCTATCCAGACCTCGGCGGCCGCTTTATCTCTGAGTTCGGCATGCCCTCTTACCCCAGTATATCAACCATTAAGAACGGTTTCCTCGACCCAGCCGTCCCCTTTGATGAAAATGACTGGAACCCTGAGGCCGAGATCATCGAGCACCACGTCAAGGCTCATAGCTTTCAGAAGCGCTTGCTTGGATATCTAGGCGAGAACTTTAGGGTTATATATGGAAACCTGCCGGTAGGTGGTTTCTTTTTTGGCCTTGGCAGTAAGGGTCAATAATTGATAAGCCTGTTGCTAAAACTTATGGTGTCAATGATTCTAGGAGCGTATATATTTAAGCCAGCTTCTGCAGAGTGAGGCAATGAACTATGCATACCGTGGTTGGAGGCGCAGGTGGGCGAGTCGTGACTGTGGTGGTGCGCTTGTGTGGCAGTTAAACGATGTCTGGTATGGCATATCTCCCTGGCTACTTTGCAGTATCCATAATAGAAATCTACAACTATATATATATATACTAACCAACCCCAGGCCCGTGACTTCCTGGTCCATAATCGACTTCCACCTGCACCCCAAACCGGCCTTTTACACCATCGCCCGCGCCCTCTCCCCGATAATCCCAATCATAACCCGCACCACCACCAACCCCAAACCCAACTCCCAGCTCGAAGCCCTCGTCCGCTCCAAAACTACCCGCGGCGCCGGCTCCCACCCCCTACACTCCACACCACACATCTACCCCCCAAACAAAGTACCATACATGTCAGCATCTCCTCCATTCACCCCCACACCCCCACACCCGTCACTGCCGAAGTCCGCACCATCAATATTGCTACAGGCGCCATCTCCCTTTTGCTTAAAACTGAGCTCACCATCCCGGCCAACGGCGCCGTCGACCTAGACTTCGGCGTCTCCATCGGCGACGCCGCAGTTCAGGTGCGGCTGTGGGGCAAAGACGGTGTGCTACTAGCACGCGAGACAGACTGGCCACAGCCGCTAAAGTACTGTGTGTTTACTGATCGGGATCGGGGGGTTGTGCTACGATGGAAGAGGGGGGGGAAGAGATACGCGTTAGTGTGGAGAAGCCAGTGAAGGGGCTTGTATTTAAGGAGGTTGAAGGGGTGGTGTGGAGCGATAATTGCTTGGATGTGATGCCGGGGGATACACAGGTTGTGAAGGTGAAAGGGTTACAGGGGAAGAGGATAACTTTGAGATGGTATGGGTCGAAAGAATTGGAAGAAGGCATTTCTATGTGATCTCGCACGATATAAGTATAAAGTCTAAGATGTCTTTTATTTTGTGCTATTATACAGTGTTTTATTCTTCCATAGCCACGTACTGTCCTCGGTCTATGACCAACTACACCATAGACCGAGTATACGGTACAACAAGACTATTGCTTAGTGATCAGTAAGCAATGCTGCACTTCACGCATTCGCGCAGCAGGCAAGATCGGGCTCCACGGAGAGATAGGAGCTTGATTGGGTGTATATAGGGAGCCTAGTATGTCTTGTGAAAGCATTGCCTTTATCTGTTGCTCTACGATGACCTGGTTTATCCACGGTTCTGCAATTCTTGTATAAGCCAGCCCGGGCCCGAAATCGACCTGGATTGACGCAAGCCCACGAAGCGGAACCTGAGACAGGGCTGGTCTATATATATGTGGCTTTTTCTTTAATTTATATGGGCCTAAGGAGAGCTATTTTATTATAAATTGTTGCTAAAATTTATTACTATATACTCCAAAACCTTTTTTTCAGAAAGTCCAATCACAGACCGATGGCCGAAATACACACTACGACCCTAGTACTGCCTACGGCTGAATTATCAATCGATCAATCGATCACCCTAGACTACTATCATCCCTCCCTACGTGCGTCAGATTCCTTAAAGAAACCCAACCCCTAACCAAAATCCAAACCCACCGCACTTCGAAAACTAACTAACCAAAATACCCCAGAGACGATCGGGTACCCAGCCCACTCTATGCAATTAATGAATTAAACAAAAAAACAAAACCCAGCCCACTCTGCAGACGGCCCAGACTTGGCATGTCACTGCCGAGTGATATTTCGTGATCCACTCTCGTCACCGCAGAGCACGATGGCATGTTAGTAAAAAAAAAAAAAAAAAGCGACCAGGAGTATTCAAACAAATCAGGCCCTCGCGGGCTACATCAATTAGGGACTTGCTTGCTCCCTTTGGGTAAAGCAAAAGAAAGGTTGGTTGTGTCCCCCACTAAGGTAAGGGATGAGAATAGGCTATTCTCGAAAACGAGAGGTGGGAGGAATTAAGACCTGATCACAGTAACAGCTTTGATAAGACCAGTGTTGCAGCAAATGAAGTTTAACTATCTTAGGGCTTGTCCATATTAGTACTTTTTTTGTTTTTAGCTAGGGCACGGGAAACCTTATTTCGTTGCCTGGTAACCGTTACGGTGTCAAGGCAACGACAGAGATGAGTCTGGAAGATAGGTTCTCACTCGTTTATTGTTGTCATTGTCTGTGGATTGTAGGATTTCTTCATGACGATTATTATTACACACTGTCATAGGTATTCAGAATTTATGGATGAGTATATCTAGAGAGGTATGGTGCGCCCACGCTTAAAGGTAGCGGATCGCGACGAAATGTCAATGTCCTAAGGCTTTGCGACCAAAAATCGTAAAAAAAAAGCGTAATGATAGAACTCTATTGCTAGTGATGAAGTTTAGTTCTATCATTGCAGAATTTTAATATCTGTCTGGGTTAAAAAGCCTTAGCAAGTTGGAATTGTGGATTTTTGTATGTAAAATGCGCTAAGACTGAACAAAGTGGAGCAGTATTATACCCATTTATACCCCAGAGAAGCAAATCTGACTGATCCGTGGCAGTAATGCCCTCTTATTGGCCTATGAGGCCCTATTGCAGCCACAATTGTTCCACTTCCGTATGCCACCATATCACCTTTAAGAGTGTGCGCACCATATGCTATTACTCGTCAGAAGACAACGGCGTCTCGACTCTCGAGGTGGTTGTATCTACTTCCCTCCGGATCTCTGTAAGAGCTTGTGTGCGTACTTAGCTACTTGTATCTATACATCCCTACCTACATTCTTCATCTGGTGATGGGTTGTATTGGGCTATACAGAGCCTACGCTCCCGAACCTCCAGTTTATAAAACTTAAAGGATCGAGGAGAAACCCTTCCGTTCCCTGACATTCCCAGAGATAACAGAGCGAATATAAATCCGCAAAATCTCCCCAGGCAGAGACAAGAGCTCAACAAAGACATCTACTCCGGTCCCCTAACGACAAAGTTAAAGGGAAGCGGAAGAGGCACGAAGATCTCACTCAACCCCTCGGACTTCGCCCAGAGGTTAATTGAGATCCGTACTCCCCCACGAGGAGAGAGCACAAGAACGGGGCAGGGACAGGCACACCTAACGCAAAAAAGGCCTCTCCCGATCTCTAAGCATAAAATGCCTAAAGACCAGAAGAGGCCAGCAAAGAAACGTCCCAACGTAACTCAGGCCCCTCCTGGCCCCTGACAAGAGCCAGGAACCAAGAGGGGCCGGAGCCACAAGGGAGGACCAACGTGACCCATGCCCCTCCCAGCACTCACTCGGGCGTGAGCCCAGGAGAGAGCCAGGAGAGGCTGGGCCACTGCCCCCTCCCTTCGAGAGGGGAAGGCAGAGGTTTGGTTGGTCTCTCTACCCCCTCCTCCTTAGAGGCAGGGGCAGAGGTCCAGTAACCTCTCCCCTCCCACCAATAGGGGGGGGGGGGCAAAAACTAGTCATTCTGTCCCTCCCACCAAGAGGGGAGGGACAGAAGTTGGGCTCCCCCCATTCCCTTCTTCCAGGGATGAGGGGGGGCAGACTGGCTACCATGACCCCTCCCACCAAGAGGGGAGGGGCCAGAGGTCGATCTCTCCCCTCCTCCTCAGAGAGCTAGGGGAGGGGGGGGAGGGGGGGGAGGGAGAGAGGGAGAGCAGCTCCCAGGACTGGGAGGAAGCTGCTCCCTGAGAAAAAAAGTCTTCCGAGGGGGGAAAGGGTGTCCTTATATACAAACGGGCGGTAGTGCCAAGCCCCGATTTTTTCGCCGACGACAGATTAGGGTATTGGGAGAGATAACAGTGTCAAGCCCTAGTTTTTTTTTTTAGCTGATGGCTCAGTTTGTGAGGTTTAGCTTTTCTGGGCTTGGCGGGGAGAGGTGGCCGGAGAGGTACTGCTCGTTGCTTGGATTAGGCGTGTAGCCATGGTTTGTGTGGGCTGGCTGTTTTCTGTTCGTTCGTTTTCTTTTTAAAGAAACCTATCACCGTGATGGATCAATATGAGAGCATGTATTTCGGTATAGATACATTAACGGTGATACAGAATATTTGAAAAATACTCGCAGACAGAAGTTCCTAAACCTGAAGACTCTTCACGTACGCCCGAACCCTCTACATAGAACACATATAAACGGCCTATATTAAAGTTTGCCTGCAAAAACATCGCGGAATAGATATCACCGATACTCACCAAACCACAATTAAGTTACCAAACCACATTCCGGAACCTTCCTCCTCCCAATTCCCGCCAACGTCCGAAAATAACACCGGCCCAGATTCAGTCACCAGATATCACTCGCACATATCTTCCCACTTCACGACCACCCATACTGCCCCTAAGAGCCCCATGTACGACTCCAGCTAAATATAACACCCACAGCAATGACATAGGGCAAGAGGACGGCAGGTGACTAACTCGCAAAAGAAGTCCCTTCTGCCAAAGATAACTTGTCAAACCGTCTTAACCCTGCCACCCCCGGCCGTCTGTATAACCGCTCTTACGATCATTGACCCCTTAACCAAACCAAACACATTTCAAAGTCGATCCACATCGTACATCCGCCAAAAAGAAAGGTGCACACATACAAAGAGATCCAAAAATATCTAGACGTAGTAGAGATGTTCTATTGCAGTCCAGCCAAACGGGGATGGGGGGATATGAATATACACGATGTATGTAGTCTACATAAAAGTACAAGCCACCACAAACAAAAAAAACAAAAAAGAAAACGCCAAAAACAAACAAAAAATGTTAAAATCTACAGTGTAAAAAGTATTTATACAGCAAGACAAGCAACTCAGATATCAAACCCCCCCCCCCACACTCCCCTTCCCCTCGCGCTCTAAAACTAAACCTTTTATCTATCCTCCCTCTCACCTCACCCCACATCCCCCACTCACAAAAACACATCATCCAACTCCCTCCTCTTAATAATCCTCCTATACTTAAACCACACCATCCTCTCCCCCGGCACCGCCACCATCGGCTCCACCTCCAACGTATCCCCCGCCCTCACGCCCATCTCCTGCGCCGAATTCTCATACGCAACCTTGCCCGCCATCCCCAGCTCCCACACCAGCCCAATACTCATACTCGGATGCGGCACCTTCTCCATGACCATAAACGTCAGCGTCTTCGGCAGCTGCGGGTCCTTCAGATCCATCAACCGCTTAATCGCCACCGCCGCCCAGAAGCGCTTACTCTCCTTCATTGTAAACGCCGAGAGGCGCTCCCCGCGCTCGAGCTCGAGCGCAAACGGCGTGATCTGCTTATGCGTGCGCGGCTCCTTGCCGAGCAGGAAGGACTCAATCTGCCAGTGCGTGATCATGTCCGAGTATCTGCGCAGCGGCGAGGTGGCGCGGATGTAGCCGTCGTCGAGGCCCATGAGTCTGTGCGGGCTGGGGGATGCGCTGATCCGCGTCTTGCCAATGAGCATCATGTACTGGATTCCGAGCTCTGGCTTGACGCTGCCGAGCTCGTTGCGCGCGGGGAGGATCTTGTTCTTGTATGAAGCGACGAGGTCGGCGCGGTCGTAGTCGTACTCCATGACGCGGAAAGGGACGGCGATGTTGTGCTTTCCACAGAACTTTGCGGTGATGCTGTTGGCCAGCTGCATCATCTCCGAGACGAGGAAGTGCGAGCCGTCATCGCTCGCCGTGGACGACTCGATGCTGAAGCGCATTGCCGGGTGGCCGCGGTAGAGGTACGGCATGGTGGAGGTCGTGGGGTGTACGAAGGGTTTGAGGCCTGTGTACACCTCGACATTGACGCGGGGCGTGATAACGTTGATGAGGTTGTTCCGCACGCGCTTCTTGCGGAAGGCCAGCGCAATGTCGTTGAGCGTCTTCAGGTCCTTGATCTGGCGCTCGTCCGGCTTCGCCGTGTCCTTCCTCGGGGGCTTTGGGAACTTTCCAATCTCAAAGCTCGTGTACTCAGACTGATGGTAGCCCAGCGCCGCCGAGACGGTATCATATGTGAAGCGCTTCACGTTCCTCACGAACCCAGACTGCAGGTTAAAGTCGAGCACCTCGCCCTCCATGTTAACCTTCGCACTCATCGTCATGACGCACCTGCCCGACGCCAGCCCGATCTTATCCGTCAGCGCCACCGGCAGCATGGGCAGCACCTGGTTCGGAAGATACAGCGACTGCTTCCTTCGGAACGCCAAGTCCGAGAGCCAATGATTGGGCGGCAGCCACGCCGTGGGGTTCGCAATATGGATATGCACCCAGTTCGTCTCCTTATCGATCCTCTCCAGCGAGATGCCATCGTCAATCTCGTGCGCCGTGATGTCGTCAATGGCAAATACCTCCATGCGGCCCCAGTCCTTGCGGATATCCTTCATCGCGTCGACGAGCTCCAGCTTCTCGACGCCCTTCGGCCCATTCACCACGTTCAGGCGCTTCTGGTCCTCGTCGGCCTGGCGCGACGTGCCCATTCCCGGGAACGCAATGTTCTTCTGACGCAGTGCAAGGTCCTCCCACTTATTCCAGGCGCCAATGTCGGCGATGAACTGGAAGGCGGTGATATTGTCCAGCTCGCCCTCATACCGATTCACCGCTCGAAGAATCACGGGCACCAGGCCGTCCATTGGCACCGACTGCGATCCGTACTGCAGCACGCCCGCCTTGATGTAGTCAATAAACTTGATATCGTTCTCGTCCCACTGCACCTCCTTCACCGGCACCCTCGTGACCGGGCCCTCCTTCGCACGCAAGTCCTTCTCCGTGTTCCTCCGACTAATATCGATCAAGTGCCTCGCCTTTCTCGCAAAGCTCTCCAGCAGCGGCACCTGCTCCTTCAACTTCTTAAACACAATCTTATCCGCCTCCTTCTCCGCACCCGTCCCCAGCCGGACCTGCTCCGTCACAAACTCAATCATCCTCACATCCCTCTTCGCCCTAACCTTGAACGTGCTCGTAGCCCTGTGCGCGCCCTTATCCGTCAGGTACCGCACGCCGTCCTCCATGAGCGCCAGATGCGTCGTATACAGCTGCTCATCACCATACGCCTGCCCAAAGATCTCCTCGGCCGCCTCAAACAGCGTGAGCTCCGTGTCCTCCCCCTCGAGCGCCATACGCTCATACAGCTTCACAAAGTTAGCCTTCTCGTCCGCATACAGCGCCCGCGACTTGTCCGAGAAGGTCCGCATCTTCTGGATCACGTCCGCCATCGTCGAGCGCGGCAGCACCAGCTCGCTGTGGCGCTGCGGAGGAAGGTCGGTGTTGGAGCGCATGATGTCTACCGTGTGGATGATCTCGGCCGCTTTCTTCTCGCTGATGAAGGACGGGATGGCGAATGATACTCGCGCGGCAGCGTACATGGCTCGCTCACCGCTTTCAAGGAGGAAGTCGGAGGTGGGTTGGCCGTTGGGGCTGGGGCGGAGGTAGATTGCGACACGGGCACCGCCGCTCATTCTGTTTGAGAGATGTTAGCTAGAGTGCTCATACCATAATATTTGCTATGGGAGATGAAATTTGTTTGTTTGGTTTGAGGGAGAGCGAAGGGGATATTGATTTTACTGAAAACCATGGGCGTCATGAGTAGATTGATATGAGGTTAACCACTAAAAATACAAGCCCTATCTTGTATCTTATTTTGACCCTCCTCCTCATGTTCTCTTCTCTTCTTGTGCTTTTAAAGGCTCTCCAAACCACAACCGCAGAAAGAAAGAAAAAATATAAAAAAATATAAAAAAACCGCCCAAGGCCAGGGTTAGGGTCATTGTCTCACCGAAGCTCACACAAATCGCCCTTCTTCAGCGGCGTCAGCCCGCTCTCATCATTAAGCCCGCCAAACTCGCCCGTGCCCTCCCAGGTGCTCACCCCACCGCCATCACCCTCCTTCATCATCACCTCCGCCACCGCGCCCGCGCCCGCGCCCGACCCGCCCAGCTGCGACGCGGCCATCAGACTATACCCCAGTCCCTGCATCGCCTCCAGCCTCTTCTGCTCCGCCAGCTGCAGCTTGTGCCTGATCGTGCCCTCCTTGACAACGATGGGCCCCTCCTTGGGCGGCGGTGCGTCCACAGGGATGATCCTGCCGAATGCGTTCCTGTTCTTGACGAAGTCCTTGCGCCGCATCTCGAGGCCGCGGAAGGTGATGTTTGCGGTTGAGTATTCCCTGCTGCCGCCGGGGATGGTGGTAGTTGTGACGGGTGCGGGTATGGAGGTGGTAATGCGGGTAGAGGAGACGCCACTGTCACAGTGGATGTTTCGTATGGGGGGGGCGCCCTCTGTCGGCAGCGGCGGCGAGCTCGACCTTACGAATTTTATAAGCCTAGTTTTTTCCTCTGCCTCCTGCTTCTGCGCCAGCACGGCCGCCGCCGCAGCTCGCGGGTAAGGGAGCGCATTTACATAGCGCACGACGACAGGGCGGGGTTTCGTGATGTTTCTAACCTCGTTCTCGATATTCTCCATATTATTCGCCATCTGTCTTAAGACCAGTTCCAGGGCGCTGACCGGGCGCATGGAGGACGGGCCTGTGAATCTTTCGACCACAACCCGGCCAGCTACTTCCGGCATGGCCTTGATCGCCTTAATGTTATCTATAATCCTTCTATTAAGGAGCTCCATCTCCGCAAAGTTGTCGAGCTCATCGAGTTCGTCCTTATCCTCTATGATCCCGTCGGACTCTCGTGACAGGGTGGAGTTCGTCACAATCTTTTTGAGCTTTCGCATTGCCTCTGCGGACTCCGCAAAGTAGAGCACGAGTGCGTCGTAGCGGGAGATGGTTTCTGGCTTACCGGCGACGGCCGAGGTGATTGATATGGGCTCGTCGATGGGGGTTTGCAATATAGCGTTTGCGTACTCTGTTGCCTGCGTGAGCTGGACGAGCATTGACCTATAGACCTTGCCCTCCCAAAACCCGCGCGCTTGGGAGTACTTCTTGACATAATTCTTGTCGAGATTGTGGGAGAGTCTGCTGATCTGGTTGGCGACAATACCGAGAGCGGTGGTGATGGGGTAGGCATGGAACTTTCCGTCCGTGACCTCCACCATGACATGTGTATTTGTCCCTGCCAGCTTGAGAGCCTTCATATTCTCCGCTATCCGCTGCGGGTAGAAGCTCGCCACCGGATTCATCAACTGCCCTGGCCGCGGCTTCCGCATACCAATCCCCAGATGCGCCACGTTATGATTGATAACTACATATTTACTCCTATCACTTTCCACATCCGCCACCTCCAACAGCTCCAAAACCGGTGACCTGCCTACAGCCGCCTCCCCCTCCTCCTGCGACCCTGGCCCTTCTCTTCCCGCCGCCACCCACCTCCGTTCCTCTGCAAGGTCGCTGTGCTTGATGTAATACGTCGTCTCCTTGAGCAAGCCCTTTCTCTCCAGGTTAACTTCCAGCTTTCTGATCATGATGTTATCATTGGGCACCACTGTGGGGTCTCTGCAGATTTCAAGCAGCCTCTCGAGCGTGATGATGCGGTAGCTGGCCTCTTCGCCAGAGCGGCGGATAAAAAATGCCGTGCGGGAAATTACTTCAGGATCTTGGAGAGTGGTGCGGACTCGGCGGATGGGCGCGCCAGATAGTGTTTTCCGCAGAGGGATTCCTTGTTGGCCCTGCCCTACAGTCTCGGGCTGTGTTTGTGTCTGGGATTCAGTCTGTGTTTGTGTATGGGTTTCAATTTGTGTTGGTGTCTGGGTCTCAGCCGGTGTCTGCGCCTGAGCCTGAGTAGTGGGGGTAGTGGGGATAGTAGCAGGAGCATTATCAGAGCTCTCCAATCCCGCCGCCACCGAAGAAGACGGTGACGGGACAGCAGGCTCCGAGGCCTCCGATCTCTCCGATCCCTCCGAGACAGTAGCAAAGAAGCATCGCAGAGGAGACGCGCCCGCTACGGTATGTGGTGTGTGGAGGCGAATTGAGCGCTGGAGAAGAGGGCGAGCGAGGTGCGTCCGTGAGCGGAGGACCTGAGGGAGTAGCATACTACTAGTTATCGTTGTTTGTCTCTGAGGTGGTGGGGGGAGGAGGAGGAATTGGAGGGGGTTCGAGTAGAGACGTAGAGTACTGTGAATGCTGCTTGCACAAGAAGCAGAAGGTGCTCGAAAATAATTGTCGAAAAATTCATGCCAAGGGATGGCGTGGGGCTACTAGGCCTTATCGCGAACCCTAGTCCTTAGTGCGATGCGATAAGCTGTCGGTCACGGCCTGTCACTCATCAGTCAATGTATGTAGTAAACCCTCCGCGCGTTACTGTACAGAGAATGCAGCTGTCCCCTTTAGACGCTCTCAACCTTTTGGTGATGGTGATGAAAGTCTCTCTGTCTGAGATCCGGCTGGATTGCTCTGGCTGGATTAATGCTCGTATGAAAAGGATGAGAAGATCAAATGAGAAGAATGACGACCGCATCCAGTGTACTCCCCCCCAAACGAACACATATGCTCAACTGCTTACAACCACGTAGCTATTATGCATGTATGTAGTCCCGACTGACCTGCCCCACAGCGGCCAAAGGGACAGGCTTCATCTACATGTACCGGGGGTTAAGGGTAAGTACTGAGAATCCCTTTTTGGGTAATTTTTAAAAGTGAGGGCTCTGATTGGGCTGATATACATATTTTTGACAATTGGCAGCCAAGCAGGTATTTGGTTAGCATGTCCTGCAGCTTTTGCAATGCAACCTCCTCAACCTCTTTTCTACTCCTGTTCTTTTCGAACTTCACCAAAACTTCTTTGATAACTTCAAATCGATACTCAGATGGAGCTGTGGGAAAGGGCTATTCACTGGTTATTTTTTTGTATTTTTAGGAAAATATTTATATTTTTAAGTGAACATAGATAAAACGTCTCGGTATTTTTTTCCTCCATACAAATTTCAGGGCCAAGACCAAAATTCATTGGCTACTTTTTGGTTGCTATGGGCGATTTCCATACAAAATTCAAGGCGTCTCGGTATTTAACGTGCACCCCCGGTACATGTAGTTATGCTAACATTCAGTGTATTTATATAAGCACTTAAGCACCCAGCAAACCACCACACTCACTTCAACTGTTCCTTCTCCTCTTTCAAGCGACGAGATCAGGCCGGCCAGGAGAGAATACAAATACATGTACATACATATACTAGACTAGCCTGAGTGATCGTGCGTACCCCATGCAACACACTACACGGTGCTGACAAGAAGGTGCCAATACGCAATTTGAAACAATCATCATAATTGAGATCTCAACCTTGCCTAATTACCAAACCAGGTATGAACAAGGCTGTATGTAACCTTATATATCCTTCAGCTCTCATGCATCGACCCCCCACAGTACCCCAATAATCACCAGTTCTCACTCGTAACGTCCCCATACCCATACCCAAATACAGTAATCTCTCACTATAAGGATACATACGATCCAGGCCAAAATTTTACATCCTTATACAGAATTATCGCTGAGCATTAGGTGCTCAGAGGGTTAACGGGGCCGGGCCATCCTATCCTTATAAGGAATATATCCTTATAGATAATACCTTTATAGCGAGCGATTGTTGTAATGGCATTGCACAGGTATCATTCAATATTGTCAACTCTATTATACATGGCTCCTCCTCTCATCCCACTCTCTAGTACGTCTCTAGGGCAGGTCAAAAGAAACAAATAAAAAAAGAACTCTATCTTATAATCAGCAATGCGCAGATATTTACCACACTGCAAGCAAGACAAGGACAACGAAAAAAAAAAATGGGAAGGTATGTAGCTAGGCTGTTTGTTCGAGTTAGTTAGTTCAGTATATGTTGTTCCTACCCGCCACCCCTCTCCTCGTACCCAGTTCCCCGCCCTCCCACCCACCTTCACACACCAACCAAGTCAACCAGCTAACCAGAAATATCAAAGGTATACAAAGTGTTAGTAAAAAAGTACAATAAAAAAATATAACGAAAAATATATAAAAAGTAAAAAAAAAGTAAAAAAAAAAAAAGATACGATTGCCCCTCAAAACACACCACTACTACCACTACCTCAGATCATCCACACTAATTCCCCCCGGCCTCCTCGACTCATCACTAATCTCCTCCACCGTCCTCACCAAGTCCTTCGTCTCCCTCGCCAGATCAAACGCCAGGGCCGCCAGCCCGCCCCTAAACTCCTTATCCGCCGGTCCATCCGCCGGCATGGGGCCGTTCGTTGCAGCCCTCATCTTACCCGCGCAGCCCGCCAGGTTCGACACGATCCAGTCACCCCTCTCACGGAGCTTCTCGTTCCCGCTCTGCTCCATCGCGTCCTCGGTGTTCTTGACGACCCTGTCGACCACGCTCGCAATCTGCTCGACGTGGCCCTGCAGCGTCGCCATGTCCTCACCGGCGCGGATTGAGGACAACAGGTGCTGGATGTTCTCGACGATGCCCTCGGTTTGCGTTTCGAGCGAGACCTGTAGAGGTGAGGGGTGTTTGGTCAGCGTGCGTTGAGTTTGAGGTGGGAGTGGGAATAGGGTCAGACTCACCCGTAGTTCTTCGACGTTGCTATTATCGGGGACGCGGAGCCCGTGGAATGGGGGTTGACGGGGCGGGCTGCCAACACCCGCGAGCGACGGTGCAATGTCGCCCCAGGCCCCGCCGGCACGGCCGCCGACGGAGCCGTTGCGGCCTTTGGCGTCTTGCGGAGGGAATTGGAGGTTGTCCTCGCCGTTGTGTGAAGAGCGTGGGGAGGTAAGGGGGCTGTAGACGCTCTCACCGCTGAGACGATTTTGCTGAATCTGTGGCGTCGCTTGTTGTTGTTGCTGCTGCTGCTGCTGCTGCTGCTGCTGCTGGGCATTTCCATTCACATTTCCATTCTGCATTGGTTGTTGATGCTGCTGTTGGTTCCGGTTCTCAGGATGTAGCTTGCCTCCAAACATGCCATTCATGTTTGGCGAGTCCGGGGACCTGATCTCGTCTTCACCATCGTCCTCTTCATCTATTTCACCCCCCACCGAAGTCCTAACCTTCACGACCTTGACCAGCTCTACCACACTTGCACACAAATGCGATGCAGCCGCATCTACCAAGGACACCGGCGACAGCCCCTGACTCAATGCATGATTCTTCGCTGCCGTCGTCAAGTTATTCGCTGTTGCCGATACCCTTGCCTTCAATTTCCCACGATCGTCATTCGGCGAGTCTTCTACGTTCTCCATGATCGCTCTAGTAGCCACCACCACACCCTTTACAAAATCAAGGGTCTGCGAACAATTGGCTCCTCGAGCGGTGCGCAAAAGCTCATCTATCGCGATCTGGAACTTGGTAATGTGAACATCCTTCACGAGTCCGTTGGGGTCTGAGAATCCGCTGGTCATGTTGGCGGGGGACGGAACAACGAGGCCAATTGATGATGTGCGGAGATTCCGGAGCGTAGCTTTGGTGCGGGCATAACGAGCTTTCCATTCTTTGACCTCATCTTGTAGCTTTTGATAGTCGGCATGCATGCGTTCTTCCTTTTCGTAAAAGTTGTCGGCACGCTCAGAGATAGATTTCATCTGGTTTAAGAACTCCATTGCTTCACGCCGGACTTCTTCTGTGACCTATTTCACCCATTGTCAGTTAATCTTGTACAACTCATAATCGGTAATCCTACTTCTTCCTGTTCCCGCAATTCCGCTTTCAATTGCTCATGCTCCTGTACAAGCTCGCTGTACTTCTTGTCCCCGCCACTGGCGTCTCCCCCTTAAGGCGAGAAATTTCCTCCTGTAAGCTTTTATTGAGATTCTGTGCCTCTGCCAGTTTTTCCTCGAGTTCGATATTCAGATTCTAAGTAATTCAGTCTAATTAGTCTATCAACCAGCTCCATAAAAGTTGAAAGGGGGGGCATACGCTTTCTCTCCGTCTCTCGCCCTTCTTAAATTCCGAGATTTCGCGGTTCCTGTCATCTAGCCTACCCTCGAGCGCTGCTATTTTATCCTGCAGGGTTTCAATTTTACTCTTATATTCGGAAACGATTCTCTACACCCGTAATTAGCTCGTACTCCTAGCGCAAGATCCCCTTCCAACCCACAACCAGCCAGTAAAGAAAGGAGGCGAAAAAAAGAAATTGAATCGCACCTCACTCCCAGCCCCAACCCCATTCCTCAAACTACTCATACTCCTATTACTATCTCGTTTCATCCCCGCCCTACCGTTCATGCTATTCATGCCATTTGACCTTCGGTCCTCGAGCCCAAAAGCGCCCTCATGATCCGAGTCATCTCCGAGCCCATCATCATCATCCTCCACCATAGTACTCTTATTCGGGATTAGATTTCCGGCCTGGTAGGTCTTTGGGAGCGGCCGCCCAAACGCCCCTTGCGGGGACATTGGCCCATTCCTCGGCGGCATTCCCGGAGATCCCATTCGCGGCGGCCCACCCCCGCCCCCATTATACGCCGCGTATCCACCTGGTGGCGGTCCATTCCGTGGCCCAGGGGATCCCACACGACCTGGCCCAGGGCTTCCAACCCGCCCTGGCTGCATCATTCCAGGCCCTGGACTCCCGGAACGCCCGGGACCCGGGCTCCCCACACGATTCGAGGGAAGTCCGTTCAAGCTCATTATTGCAGCAGTCGGGCTTCCGCTTCCGTCTCCAAATTGTGGGAATCGTCGCTCAAGCTCGTAGTATACGTCCGTCGCGAGATCCCTGAAGCGCTCCATTGCGAGCGTTGAGAGCTTCTGCCGCGCCTGGTTCCGCTTAGGGTGGAACTTGTCCTTGGGCTGGAGATGCGGTGGTTTATCAACGGCGCCCGGAAGCGCGTTCGCCTCGCGGCGTTGTAGTTCATCGTAGACGTCCGTCGACAGCTCCTGGAACTGAATCACGGATAACCGGAGCAGCTTGTCGCGCGCCTTATTCGGGCGCCCACTGAGCTGCTGCTGTGCAAGGTACGGCTGTAACAGCTTCTTCAGCGCAGAGTGGTGGACCGCGACTTCCTCCTCCTGAATGATACCCTTGAGAGACGACGTCTCGCTTTGTGCGTAGAGGCCTGCGCCATCAGAGGAGCGAGCTATTGATGCTGGCGGGGACACTGTACGCGGATTGCCGCCCCCTCCGTTTCCCCCATCACCGAGCATACCACTGTTTGAGTTGTTGCGCTGAGGGGCACCCCCGGGGCCGTAGAGGTCTGAGCCGGATTGGTATTTCGAGATTCCGGACCAGTCACTGCCGGCGACAGAGACGGGAGAGAGTGCTGTACGGGGGACGCTGACGTTGCTAGTCATCCTCACTTCCAGGTCAGTCCTAGAAGGGGGGTCTGGGGGAATTCCAAGCTCTGTCTAGTAGATCTTGTTATTCCTGCTTTTCAGATTCTGTTCTGCGACTGTATGTAGATATGCGTGTGGTCAGTAGGAGTAATTGAGTAGCAGTAATTGCAATGATCAATGCAGTGCAGCAGAAGTACGCCTGGCAGTAGTGGGCAGTAAAGTCAGGTGTGTAGTAGATATCCACAGTCTAGGCAAAGCTCCTCCCCTATAACCCTTATCCCCTTCCAGGTTCGCGTCGTACGGACCTCTTAATCTCCGGGAGTATTCCAGCTAGACTTTGTCTTCTCAATAGGGGGGGTGTGTGGTATGGGTATATAGGTAGGTGGTAGGTGTGGTGTAGCCTGTACAAGTTGTGTGAGGGGGAGGGGAGTGATCTGAGGGAGGGGGGATTGTGGGGGGGGGGGGGGGGTGGTTGAGAGGGAAGGAGTGAGAGACAGACAGAGTGAGAGACTGCGAGAGTCAGGGCAGGACAGGGCAGGACAGGCGCACAGAGACACACACACTGGACGTATGTACGTACGTATGTCAGTCTAAATTATTCCGTTAGAGTCGAAGAACGGATGCTGGGTTGCCGGTGCAGCAGAGGGTCGCTCAGGTTCGTAGAGTTCGGTGCTGAACGTAAATCGCAGAATAATGGAATCGGCCCGTAGAAAAGGGGAAATGGAAAGGGAAAGGGAAATGGAAATGGAACGGGTCTAAAGCCGCCCCGAGTCGTGGAGGGTACGTTAGCAACGTTAAAACAGTAGTAGCTAGCGCCAAAGGAAAGCTAAGTAAGCCAGCAGCCAGCCCTGTCTGTCAAGCCTGCCAGGTGCCTGCTCAGTACGGTTACTACGGATGCTACGATGTGCTAACAAGGTTCGCTTGAGTTGGGAGGGAAGGGGAAGAGAGAGATCTAGAGTAGAGAGAGAAAGAGAGTCTATGGAGTGTGTGAGTGTGCGTGTGTGTGTGTGTGTGTGTGTGTGTGTTCGAGAGCTGGAGTCTTCAGTGTCCAACAGCAGCTAGATACATGTATGCAATAGGTGCCTACTCTATTAACTCGTCAAGACGACTGTGAATCAAAATAGCGAAGGAGAAACAGCAAATAGCACCTATCTATCCACAGATCTCGGCCCCCAAAAAGCAACAAAAAAAGGCAGAAAGAAAGAAAGAAGAAAAAAAGTAAAATACAAAACAAAAATAAAACACTTGCTCCGGTCGTCGTGGGTAACGTAACGTAGGTACACGCTGTCTCTTTGCACGGCTTGTTGTGGTAGGGTGTATCATGTATGTAGTAGTTCAGGTAGGGTTTACTCACACGCACTCACTCCCTCTCTCTCTTTTCAAGATCTCCGACTTCCAACTGTAGAAATGTGAAAACGGCAGGTCGAAGACGTAGGACTTCTTCAGTTCTGACCTGCTGCGCCACCTCAATTAAGACCGCCCAAAATGGCTGGGATGAGCCACCACCACCCGGCCTCGAACTTGAAAGGGGGCAGGCATTCCTTCCAGGGGGTGGGTTGAAGAGCTGCCTGCCAAGCTAGGGTAGGCAGCACTGCATGTATGTGCTTGACCTCGTGAGTGGTGAAGAGAAATAGAGTCCGAATACTCTAAATATTTGACCTTTTGCATTCTCTTATTATTAGCTTAAGCGCCTTGTTGATACCGGTGGTTTTGAATCCCCTAATGCTACCCGTTTGTTTGGCTTGAGTACTATACTTAGCGCAAGTAAAATAATAAGCTTTACCTACACCGGGAAACCCTACTATTAGGTAACGAACAACAGCTACGGACACCTGGTCTGGGCTCTGCGCTGAGTGTATAAAATTCTCTGCAGGCAGCCGTGATGCTATTGAGTACTAAAGAAAAGAGCTATATTATTACTCGCTCCCGGTGGGAGAGCACAGAAGGGGGTAACGGACTAAGGACTTAACAAATCATGACCTCAATATCCAACTATTAGCCCCGTATCTCAAGTCATAGCATTGATCTAAGCTGGATGACCATCTGAGCTTAAGTTCTCAATATCGCCGAGTGACAATCTGTGACGAACAAAGTCACACACCATGTAATAGGAGAATAACATATCATTAAAAATCTATTATTGATCGCATCTTAAAACCGCGCACGAAGCTATGAATGTAAACAAAAAACATGAAACGACAAAAACAGTGGGCACAACAAAGTTAGATAGTGTAGAGTAGCGTTTTTTTCTTAAAAGTTATATAGATGTATTGATTTTTACTCGTTGAATCGTAAATTAATCATTGACGCCGATATTCCCACATCCATGTTGAATTTTGCCCCCAAATGCCTTCATTCCCGCAATCGAATGCCACCACAAAAAACAAAGAAATCTACCTTCACCTCTCTCCCGCATCCACAAATTCGTCGCTGTCGTCGTACTTAACCCCTCTGCCCTGCCCTCTGACCGAACCCGCAGAGCGAGCGCTCATAGTGCTCACATCGGACCCTGATCTAGAATGCCGCACTTCTTGTCCCGCTTCTGGTCTAGTTGAATGTCCTGCGGCCGTTGTTACACCCCTATTTGTTGGTATCAAACCAGGTCCAAACTCATCAGCCTCTCTAAAGTCCATTAATGCGGTTTCCGGGTCCAAGTCTCCATTGGTGATTTTACCATTTTGGGTACCCTCAGGAACAGTTTCTGTGTGAGGATGGTGGGGTGGGATATCGTATTTACTAGCCCGCCTTGCTCCTGTAATTATCGGCGCAATGTTCAATATTTGCTTAATCTGCTCTTCCGGGGTTGTGCCGTCGCTATTTTGGGTTAATATCTCCTGGGAATGGCACTTCTCCACAACTTTAACCCCGAAAACTCACATGTTGGTTGAGATGATCCAATCAAGCTGCTCGTCCTCACCTCTCGAGGGGTCAACAGCACGGAAGAATCTTGGCTTCCACTCTACACCGTCAGCTTCCCTCAACCTAGCTTCTTCTCTTTGCCTATCTTCGATTTTGAATTTGGCATCAGTAGCGCCTTCCTGATCCTTCGACTTCAATGCAGTAGTCACAGGTCCCCAGAGCTTCTGAGATTCACGCTCATCCTGCTCAGACAATGGTCTAACAATTGGTGACGTAGGTGCAGCATTAGTGGCATCAAAAAGCAAATCTCTCTTTCCAGTCTAATCACATTTGTAAGTTTCCTAGTTCTGGCAAACCGCTCACGAAAACATACCATGCAATCCTTAATAAACATCTCCCCACTCCAGCTACCTGTAATCTCATATAGAACCTCACCAGTACTCTCCCTCTTAATTTGCCCTCCGATAGCATTATAAGCGCCAGTGAAAAATCCCTTGACCTTAAAATCGATATCTGCCATCAGGTCTAACTCCGGGCACTTGATATACGAATGGTCGCCTAGTTCGTACTTCATCTTCCCAAACAGGATGCCGCGGACATACATGTTCGGTTGGGTCAAGATATACTTCTCCCCGCCATCCGGCTTTCCCGCAGTAGCTCCTCGGTTGAGTAGTCGGAGAACCACAACTGAGGTATTCATCATGGATGCTGCCGAGTTCCCTAGGAACCGAGATTGCGGTTTCAAGGTCCCATCTATCCGGATACCATGGTGGGGGGCCATATAAAAGTAAGATGATTTTGGGGGGTGATGAGACGTTTGCTCGGAGATGTAGAATGCCTGTGTTCCGGGTGTCTCATTGAAATCCCAATGACAGGTAAAGTATTCGCCAAGAATTGGGTTCAGAGGTTTCTTGACGCCGCTGTGGAATAGTTAGCAATAGACCCACAAGCTCCTAGGGAACGAGTACGCACGGAGGCTTGATATGCCAACCACTCAAATAAAACTTCACAACAGATATGAACCGTTGAGTTGGGTCATCAACAGCTGTCATTGGTAACAAGGTCTCGGGGTGTTGCATAAAGCTATGGTTGACCAAGATTCCATCAGCAAAGTCACACAGGGGATTATAATGAAACTGAAATCCTAAATTCTCGCAAATCACCAAAAATCACGTACTTTGTGATCCTCTCCAGCATGCTCTTTGGCTCAAGGATAAATGTCGGCAGGGTAATGCGGCTCAAATCAGCTCCGGGCCTCAATTGCGAGATTATCGACAACAACACTGTTACACCGTTAGCCATATTTTCACATCACAGCCTCTAGAACCAAGAGGCCCAGCTTGAGGGGTATTCTTTAGAAAGCATACTGTTCTTCTCCCCATCGTCAACAATAGTTTCCTCCTCCTCTCCAATAGGTTCGGCAGTTGATTTTCCTGCATCACCTTCGACATGAAAAGCATCAGCAATCACATCCATGCACAGAGTTCGGTTTTCCGAAAAAAAAACCTTTCCCTCCATTCGAGACCTTTCACCGCCACTACCACCATTACAAAACTCTCAACAACTTACTACCGGTACTCGAACTTCCAGCTGGTGGGGTAGAGTAGAAGAACATACTCGACAAGGATGAACTCCGTCGCTTGGATACGTGGCTAGTGATCGGGTTGTGACCAAACATGCTTTTTCTCACGTCCTCTTTATGCTTCGTAGTTTCTGGCTGCTAGCTCAGATTGATATTGTGTGGATTTGATCGAATTCTATAGAAATAGACAGGACTGGAGAAAAGCAGTCAGAAACCAGCAGTGGTGGTGGTGGTGGTGGTGGAAACTGGGGATGGGGAAGATGATAGAGGAGAGAGCACAGATACATGTAGGTATCATATCCCAACAACTATCACATGCACACTGGATTCTTCCGCCGCCGTTCTTGGCGAGCTGGAAAGGCCAGTACCAAGGGGGATAACTTATCAACTCACCGTGAATCAGCCGTGCCAGTCTCTATCAACGTTCTCCCCCTAGAGTTGCCGATTTCGGGTGCGGGCGGTGGTTGGAGTTTCTGTGCTGTCTAGGTCCAAGCGTGAACTGAACGACAGGTGAAAATAGAATATACGGCGTCAAGAAGTAGTTGAGCAGTAAAGGGGATCTTGGTAAGAACCTGTGGGCAGGGTCAAAGTAATGTAGGGCAGGGGCGGGTGGTAAAAATTGTTGAATGGGTGCCTGGCCCGCAAGTAAAGTAGAAGCAAGGCTGAACCTGAATCTGGGATTTTTCCCTGCGGAGTATCGGAGGGGGGCAAGAGAGTTGACAAGATACGATAGGCAGGATGACGACTACTACATGAGGGGAGTAACTCAACGAATGTAGAACAGCCATGGGCCCGTCCACACGTTGACCAACGCATGCTCCGGATTGCCAAAAGACCGAGAGAAAAAATTCCCATAGAGATACATTAACGGATTGAAGGCACCTTATGAAGGACTGTATCTCAGGATGTATCTGTTACGGTGTTTACATGACCCCACGGAATGCATTATATCCGATCCGTTGGTTCGCAAGGATCGCATATACATTAAACATCTACATGACCAGTTCGTCGATTGTACTCAATACCGTCATATGTGCGTACATGCGTGTGCAAGTAAGGCACGAGACAGGAATTCCCATGTCGTTCTCCATAGATACTTAATTTCAAAGGCTCATTGAGCACTCAGAAATAAATCAACAGTGGCTACCCACTCGTACATGTAGGTAATCAACAATATCTGAGGTGACCCGAAGATGCACGGGTAACGTTCCGGGGTAAGTACATGTAATATTGCCCGGCAAATAAACTTCCATAAAGCTAGGACCACCGAAACCTCGACTTAAAGGCTAAGAGAAGCTCTTATATGAGACATCACGACTCTAAAATACGAGTACAGAGCAACCTGTGCTTATATCTTAATGCATTCTTCGATGACATAGCTTCTTGTGTCATGAAGTTGAGTTTTAGTTCGCTACGCCCGGAATCAAATAATTCCGTGAATTGTAGAAATTCATAGTGTCGGTACTCTAGTCTAATCACCTCCGGTAAAGCACGCAATCATAAGTCATCTAATCAATATTAGATTGTTTTCATAAGTTGAGAAGACGTTAACATACATGTCTCTACTAGCTACATGTAGTTTCTCTACTAGTAGTGTGCAAAGACATGAGTGATAAGCGATGACTGCCATAAGACTTTGAAAAGTTGTAGGGTTAGGTTTCTCAGACAAATCGAACCATCCCAAAGCCCAAGACTCAGGGCCTCAAACTGCGGGGAAAGTTGACGGATCGGATCGTCAAAGTTTCTTTCAAGCTTTCGAGATAAAGCCGGAGTGTTGCAGGTACGATTATATCTAGCTACACCCCACAGTGAGGCTCTGTTATTATTTGTCTCGGCGGATAAGGCCAATCGGGGGAAAGCGAAAATAATCTACTACTAGAAGCATCACTCCACCACACATGTGAAGAGATTGATGGTATAAATGTTTTTAGATCTCTGGCCATGTAAAAATCGCATGTTATGGCATCTATTTATGCGGTGTTGATTTGTTTTTGTGTTTGACGAGTTCTTTGCCGTTGTGGGTGCCCCGCAGCAGGTGGATTCTAGAAAGCACTCGAAGATTCCTCCAAGCCCCGCGCTTCGTACTTAGGGACATCCGCTCGCTTTTCGCAATCTCCCAACATCCCATCAAGTTCACTACTCTTGCATACTAGCGATACTTCCATTTCGCTCTTACAAAACTCTCAAAGTTTTTCTGCAATACTGATATCATGGCTGATAAGGTATTCCTGGCATTTGAACCTTTAGACAGTCGGATAAGGACCCGCTGACAATGATATAGCTCAAAGCTGAGGGAAACGCTGCTTTCGCTGCGAAGGATTTCGATAAGGCTATGTAAGTTGCATATCATCCTCTTCGTAATCTTTGGTACCGTATGGCATTTGATTGACAGGTACAGTTCCTTATTCACTCAAGCTATCGAAGTGGACCCGTCGAACCACGTTCTCTACTCAAATCGCTCTGCTTGCTATGCTTCCCTGAAAGATTTTGCTGGTGCTCTACAAGATGCCACTAAGTGCACTGGTCAGTAGGCTCAACAGTTTCATCCTTCCCAGATGGAGAAAATTATTGCTAAGGTTCTCTTTGTTTCACAGAACTAAAGCCCGACTGGGCCAAGGGATTCACAAGAAAGGGTGCTGCTCTTCACGGAGAGGGTGATCTCAGTAAGTCATATCATGACAACAATTTTGATAAATAAATCATTCTAATTTCCGTATAGTTGCTGCGCTCGAGGCCTACGAAGAAGCGCTTAAACTGGACCCAAACAACGCTCAAGCCAAGTCTGGTGTCAAATCAGTCAATGAAGCCATTAGCCGTGAAGCTGCCGCTGATGGTCAGCCCGATATGGGACTTGGCCAGATCTTCCAAGATCCTAACTTCCTCCAAAAGCTTGCCTCCAACCCCAAGACCGCGCCGTACCTTGGAGACCCCCAATTCATGGAGAAACTAAACAGGATCAGGACCAATCCTAGTGCCATCCAGAACGAGATCAGTGATCCTAGAGTCATGCAGGTTATTGGTGCGCTTTTGGGTATCCAGATGGAGATGCCTAACTTCCCTGGCGCAGGTGGAAGTGCTTCCGGAGGTGATGGAGACGTTGAGATGCCAGATGCGAGGAGCTCAGCACCTCCGCCGAGAGCCGCCACACCTCCTCCTCCTGAACCCCAGGAGGATGATGAGGAAAAGGTAAAGAAGGAGGCAAAGGAGGCCGCTGATAAGGAGAAGGCTCTTGGTACAGAGAACTACAAGAAGCGTAACTTCGATGCCGCCATTGAGCACTACTCAAAGGCTTGGGAGCTTCACAAGGACATTACCTACCTTAACAATTTGGCAGCAGCCAGATTCGAGGCTGGTGACTATGATGGCTGTATTAAAGAGTGTGAGAAGGCTATTGAGGAAGGTCGTGAGATGCGTGCTGACTTCAAGTTGATTGCCAAGTACTTAACCTCTCTCCGATTCTTACTTGTGCCAAGAGACTAACCTAAATTACTTTCAGGGCATTCGGCCGTATTGGAACCGCGTACCAGAAGCAGGGTGACCTCGCAAAGGCCATTGAATACTACAATCGTGCTCTTACAGAGCACCGTACCCCTGATGTTCTCGGCAAGCTTCGTGCCGCCGAGAAGGCCAAGATCGACTTTGAGCGGGAGTCCTACATCGACCCTGAGAAGGCAGACCAGGCCCGTGAAGAAGGAAACACTTGTTTCAAGGCCGCGGACTGGGTTGGAGCTGTCAAGGCTTACTCCGAGATGATCAAGCGTGCCCCCGAGGACCCCCGTGGTTACTCTAACCGTGCTGCGGCGTTGATCAAACTGCTTTCTTTCCCGGAGGCGATCAAGGACTGCGACGAAGCCTTGAAAAGAGATAAGAAGTTCATGCGTGCACACATCCGGAAGGCACAGGTTTACTATGCCATGAAGGAGTACAACAAGTGTTTGGATGCTTGCAACCAGGCAACTGAGGCGGACACCGAAGGGAAGCACACCAGGGAGATTGAAGAGCAGACAAGGAAATGCATGGAGACCATGTACTCTACCAGAGAGGGTGAGACTGAAGAGCAGACAATGGAGAGGATCCAGAAGGACCCCGAAATCGTCAGCATTATCAGCGACCCTGTCATGCAGAGCATTTTGCAACAGGTATGGCCTTAACTCCACCCCATCACGACTATAAAGAAATAAGCTAACGAGATATTTACAGGCCAAATCAAATCCACAAGCCTTGAATGACCACATGAAGAGCCCTATGATCCGTCAAAAGATTCAGAAGTTGATGGCGGCGGGTATCATCCGGGTTGGTTAAGAAAACTGAATAAAATGACGCAAGGTGTAGTGGGAGGCCTAGTGAGTATTTCAAAAAGCGGTTTTGATTTTGAAGTGCTCGCGAGACTTGCCGGCGGAGCGTGTTTATGTCGTTTCTATTTTTCGGGTTTTCTTTTTCGGGGTTTTGATTTTTCTTTTGCTTTCTACCTAATTGATTTTGTTGGAACTGTGATACCACACCTTTAAACCTAGGTGGTGATTTCCAACTTTATTGAAATACATACTCTCGCACATAATACACCCGAACATGAGCGATGACGTCAATGTAACACCGAGTGATAGTTTGTGCAGAACATATTGCAACCTATCACCCGCCCACCAGCGCTTATCACTTCTCAACATGCCGCTGTTTCAATCTCGTCAAAATCCAGAAAGCTTTATTGTTTAATAGGAGATTTCTTATATAGATTAAGGACCTTGAGGGAAGACACTACGTACATTGTAGATCGTTTGAAAATTTGTAGTCTGGAAATAGATTTATGTACTCGAGGGCACACTTAAATGAATTTTGCTTTCTTCGATTATTTGCAGCATGCGTATTTCTAACAAGAGTTCTTACTATGTCACTAAGATTCATTAATACAAGTAGGAGGAGCAAGTTCCTAACACAATCTAGTTGAGGAAGCCAAAGTGAAACAAATAGCATCTCAATAACCGATTTGAGTAGTACATACATAGCAAGGGTATACAATGGACATTATACCCGAATATGCTAGGTTAATCATGCGGAAAGACGTATCAATCGAACCTACCCTTTCCTTTCTTGATAGAGGACCGTCACCATGTTCTTCATTGTAACAGGCTTCTCTTATTCGGATTCTGGGATACTTGCAAGTGTGAGTGCGCGCCTGAGGGTGTTAACCAACACCGGGTGATATCTCATGACCCAATTCGTTCCTCCAACCTTCGCGATCTTATGAGTGGTTTCTTATTATACAGCCATCGCTATAGCCTTATCCCTAAATCGATTATATAGAAATTGTTCTTGGAGATGGAGGTAGGATGAAATTTTTTCGGTAACTATAATTAGCCAGTTGCCAAGATGAGGATATCTATGGTATAAGAGGCCTAATAACGTCTAGGATCATAGAAGAAATGTAGGTATTGTAATTGATAATCGATAAAAGGCGGTTCCTTAGTCATATCGCATCCGCGGTTCCTGATTTAAGTACTGGAAAAACTGAAACCGCAACAAAGTGGCCACCTTATCCTAGCAAATCCAAAATCAAGACTAAACTACCGTGCCAAAGCTAGCGACAGTTCTGTGCTATGCGTTTTCTACGTTATCAATACTTCAGAGATGGATTCGAATATTTGATACGGTTACTGAAAGATCTTCATGTGTACATATACCGTGGAATGACCTTTAGGTTGCATACATGTAAGACTAAGGAAGATCCGGGTGAGCGTGTCATCCACCCGCAACAATATGTCAACTTTAGATGAGAGATGAATGCCGGGTACATGTATTCAGATATTTCAAGATTTTATCCCCTGGTATTATATGGATAGAAAAGTGGATTCTCGGGACCACACGTTCTTATCAAAGTGATATTAGGCAAATTAACTGCACAAATGACCTATCCGGACTAAGTCTCGGGGGGTGATCCTTTCAAGGTGGGTGTGCCAATCTCAAGAAAACTCAATGAGATACTATTCTAGGCCAACTGCAGCTGTTGACTTTTGATATACACTTATCTTCAGCAATGATCCTTACTGCATGAGCACGTTTTTCGGCAAGGTTGCGGTTTTGGTCGATCATACTCCTTTGACAGGGTTTAGAATATTCTATTGTAGCCGTTTCATATATATGTGTGGTCTGAGCCGGGAACATGTGGCCGCATGGCGTGACATTGATGAGGTTGATCGAATTAAATTCTCCGAGAAGATTGATGTACTTTAGTTTGGTAGCCTTTGCACTGTGAAAAATTTGATTTAGCCCGTTGCTTGTTTTTCTAGGTTTCGGCAGAAAGGGATTCGAATTAATTGCGCCATATGGGATGTGTGGGGAAGTAGCGACTGAGGCTGTTCGAACCGGAACTGTGTAACACAGATATATGCTTGTATTACCTTGGTTAAGACAGCCACGGCTGTCATTATCACTGCAGGTTAGCAGAGACAAGGGTATAGTTAGGGGCAAGAAGAGGAAGGGGAGAGACCTGTCTTGGAAGACGTTACATCCAATTACATGTGGTAAGGAGCTGGACGGACTCCGCTGCTATGCTCCACCTTGATGCATTAGTACCTGTTCTCTACCGATTGCTCTAGCTATATGTATTGGAATGGAATAAACCCAGATTCACTACATGTAGGTACTTATATATGTTCAATCTTCCATCCATCCATTCTCGTCCTGATCTCATATTTCCTTGCCCCTTTATCGAATCTCCAAACCTGTCACTATGTACCGTTACTTTCACCATCCCACTGCAGCATCTCATTAACCCTGCTGCATATTAACCCATCTCAAAGTTACATACCCAGTCGCACCAATGCTTGCTTGAAGGTCTCGGGTGGTCGAGCTTCCGTATATCCTTTTTTGTAAGAGACCTGATAATTTTATATCAAATATGTAGGTCACCTAATATACCCTCTAGCTATTGCAGCTAGGCCTTATAATTTTGAGCCCATTCCCGGTAGATATCTCGGATCTTGTGCCTGACATATGGAGCCATTTGCTGGAATACATATAGATAACTGATTAATTACTTTTGTTTTTTCCTCTCTTTTCACCGACTCCCCGACTCTCGGTGTCATTCTACTGGTTCTCCCTTACGCGCCCTCAGTCAACCCAAGACTGGCCCATCTCACCACCCAAACAACATCGGAGCGTGCAAGCCCGACCTTCCTCCACTGTACCAGTGTATACCATATCCTCAGCCAAGCGTATTTCGTACTTGTGCCGCCCTGCGCCTAAATATAATCGATAGATCGATCTTCGTTTTACCAACGGCCCCTTTACCTCCGGCTTATGGATATTGATCCCCGGTTGGCGGGCCCACGTGCGGGGTCGAGCTCTTCCTTTGCTGTTGGTAGCGTCGGTGTCGCGAGCTCGACAGCTATACCACCTGCACACCCGCATGGAGTCGACGGAGCTGGAGGTGGAAGTGGAAGACCACTCGGGTTCTTACCACCACCACCTCACCATCACACGCCGATCCAAAGTGCACCCCCGGTCTTTACCCCTACTACTGTAATTCCTAGTGGTAGTAGTTCCGCAGCAGCTGCATTAGCAGATCAGAAACGACCCCGAGCTTGCGAGTCATGTCGAGGCCTTAAGGTCCGTTGCGAACCGAACGAAGCAAACCCTTTTGCAACATGTAAACGTTGCGCCAAGGCGAACAGGGAGTGTATCTTCACAGCACCGTCACGGAAGCGGCAGAAGAAGAGTGACAGTAAGGTTGCAGAGCTCGAGAAGAAGATCGATGCATTAACAGCGAGTTTAAACGCAACACGTGCACGGCAGGCACGGGGTATAGATGAAGATGATGAGGAAGAATATGGGGAAGATGGGGATACTCCCAGTGCACTGGACGCTGAATTCTCGCCTATCTCCAGGCCGCCTAAAAGACTGAGACATGAAGATCCACATCAAATATTGGGAGATGGAAATTTCAAAGGGACTTCCTTGCCAGCGCTGAAGGGTGGGAAAATATCCACAACCTCTTATCTGCGACCCACGGATGAGGACATGGCTAAATATGTCTTTATTGACGTAGTCGACCGGGGGATATTAAGCATGGAGACAGCTACAAAGATCTTTAACCACTACGTCGAAGATATGATCCCAAACCTCCCAGCTGTTGTGTTCCCACCCGACACAACGGCTGAAGACATACGCCGGGAGAAGCCAACGTTATTTCTTGCCATCCTTGCTGCAGCTTCTGGAACGAGTGATCCTGCATTGCATAAAACGCTGTATAATGAGATATCTCGTGCATTTGCAGAAAGGGTCATGATAAATGGGGAGAAGAGCCTTGAGCTTGTACAATCTTTGACTATATGTAGCATGTGGTACTATACCCCAGATCATTATCAGGAGTTGAAGTTCTACATGTATATCCATCAGGCTGCGGTCATGGCCCTGGATATCGGGATTACGAAGAAGCGGAAAATTATTAAAGGAAGTGTGCGGGGATTGCCACCGTTCCCAACACAGAAAGCTTCAATACCGTCTTTAAGTGGGGGTGGAGCTGCACGTGGGGGGGCTGGTAATGAAAGAGGGGGGCAACAGAAACCTGATGGTGATACTGGTCCCCCAACACTCCATCCTCCGCCTGCGCCGGTACCTCCAGTGCCCCCACTACTCAGATCACCATTCCCTGATCCTGAAGCTATTGAGACTAGAAGAGCACTATTAGCATGCTACTGGTCATGCTGCAATGTATCCATGGCACTGAGGAGGCCTAACTTGCTTAGATTTACGGATTTTATGGATGAATGTATTGAGGTACTTGAGAGCTCCCCACAGGCAGCCGCGTCTGATAAGGCATTTTGTCAATGGGTCAAGTTACAAAAGATCGCAGATGAGATTGGAATTGGATTTGCGTTTGACGACCCAAATGCAAATGTTACGATTGACGACCAGAGAGTCCAGTTTTCACTAAAAGGGTTTGCAAAACAATTGGAGGATTGGAAGTCGAAATGCCCACAAGATATCTGGGAAGGTATGGTTCTCACTTGTATAGATTTATACCGTACCATCTTCAAGAAAACTAATAGTGTATCTAATCCAGGCGCAAAATCCCTCCAACTAACCTACAATCTAATCATGGTATATGCACATGAGATTGCGCTACACCGCGACCATAATGTTGATGACTTCCAACCGCCATACACTGAATCCATGATGCGTGAGCCGTCAATTAAACCCAACGAACTTCTCTCTTCCTTTCACCTCGACGCTATTTCCCGATGTCTCTCATCTTCTCACCGAGTCCTCGATACCTTCATGAGCATGACCATTCAAGCTATCCGCTCGGTCCCCGTGTTCACATTCGTTAGGACATCGTATGCATGTATAATTCTCATCAAGTTGTACTTTTCAGCTTCGCACCCACAGAGCGAACTAGGAAAGGTTATCGATAAAAACTCGTTGAAGATAGATGAGTACATGGATCGTCTACTAGATACTCTCAAGAAAGCCGCAGATGGGAAGGCGAGCAAGCAGGCCGGTAGATTTACGGCGATTCTCCAGATGCTACGACATTGGTACAGCACTCAAAAGGCCGAAATCGACCGGGGGTCTGCGGAGAGCGTCCCAGAGCCCACATTCAAGCGTCTTGGACTCTCAGAAGGCAGGCGCCCGCCAAATACCTATGGTGCCATTCCAATGGAAGGGATGGAAACTCCTCGTAGCATGGACGACGTATCTGCAGCAAATACTCCAGAAAACGACAAGGGTCACCATGATACAATGCGGCCTCCTCTTCTGCCAGGATCATCTTCATTGAACGCTGCAACACCATTACAAATACTCTCCACTACTGCCCTTGAATCACCGCATCATGGGCAATACGCAAGCGCGCTCAGCCCAACGTCGAACATGGAAATGGCAACTCCACGAAGTGCGCCGCCCTCGTATGGGAAATGGCCTCAAGATCATGACTTGTATGCTATGGGTCACGGGAATGGGCCCGTAACGCCAGTTATGGGCAATAATGAGATGACACACAATGGGCACGGTGGGCAAAGTGGGCACATGGGGTACGGCTTGGGTGGTGATAACGGCGGGGTAAACACTGGAGGGCCGATGGATTATGCACACCCTGTGTTTACCGGAAATGGAGAGTATATGAATGATACGTTTTGGGGCCTGATAGAGGAACCAATGACCATGTTTGATCTAGGCGGAGTAAAGTACTCATAATAACTTTTGGTAGTTTCTTTTTCATTTTATCTTGGTTTATAGAAAATTCGGTGGTTTCTTGTGGAGTGGTCGGCGCATGCGTGCATTTGTTTCCGGCCCTTAGCGATGGATTTGTCTTATTTTCTCTTCTGTTAGCTACCCATCTGTTCTTTCATTACTTAATTTTGGCGGGGTGGTTTGGGAATCTTTCATGTTTGCTTGGTTGATGGGGTATGGAGGTGGAAAAATGAAGGTTGGGACCGGATGTTCTGTACGTGTAAGGAGGTTCTGTATGAGTACGAGTACGAGTACATGAGGAGTATATACCTGGATAATTGTAATTAATTTTGCTCAAGCTCCGTGGTACCGATTGTAGGAAAAACCACGCAAAATCACCACAAACCACCAATACCATATGCATACCATCCATTATTTCATCCATCATACGTCCATGTGACCTCTATATTATGGTAGATTGGTAGTACCCTTGGCACTCCCTGCAAGTTCGCGATAGTAAGATGGTAAGATGAAGGCCACGTTCACAAATCGAATATATCCTCCCATCATGAATGAGTCCACGGAGCTAGGACTACGATGTAGAATAGACAGGACCAGAATTTTTGTAAAATCACACGCAGGCGCACTGGGTATAAAAATTAAAGTTCGGAGGTTTCATAACCCAGCTGGCGTTTATGGAGACTTTGGGGGGTAAAGACCCAGTCCTATTTCCCTTCCGTACCGAACTCTTCCTATCTGTCCCGAGTAGTTTAGTTTAGTAGATGGTCCCTGCAGAAGTTTGCAACCCAATCCAGAGAGATGGGAGGCCCAAACTGCTGTTTGCAAAAGAAGAGTAAAGTGTCCGAGGTAGGTGGGGTGTGTGAATAGGCTGCGAGATCGGTACACAATCACTTATTCCCGTTTTCCGATCACTTGTATGGTCATGACCAGGTCAAATAATGAGGTAGGTACGTATCTGTAAATCGTTTTCGCAATGTGCAGTGACGTATAGTCTTGATTATTCCAGAAATCTGTTGTTGATGTTTATTATGGCGCGGTCGGGTATCCAGTCATGGCGGAGGGAGTTGAAGGTAATTAGGCAGACACGCCGATTGAAAAGATTTGCGGTGGGTCAGGTGTCCAAAATCCCACGTAGGTACTCTAAAGTTCAAAGCCTAGAAAACCAGTTCCGGCGTGTACGAGCTGGAGCACAGCCCTGTTGTTTCAAATAGGCGAAAATCTCAAACAAAATTGGCCATGGAGATGGAGTAGAGTATTCTCAGAGGGCATCCGTCCAGTAGGAATTGCAATGAGCTGTTCTTCCAGTGGATTTTGCAAGCCTTTAACCATACACATCACTAAACAAAGGCACGAGAATAATTGCTTCGGCATATTGCATATATAGTAGGTACATGTACTTACCGGGAAAAAAAAAAAAAAAAAAGCAATTGATCGAACCACAACGCTAGCTACTGTATTTTGATGAAGTCTTAGGTTCCACGTGTGTCGATGTAATGGCGCATTCTAAAACAATTAACGTGCATGACCTCTCCTAAATTTAACTGGAGATATCGTGCTTGTTGGCAATGACAGAGCCACAATATGGGCCGGGGTGTTTTAGACCTTCCAGTAGATTGCAAATCAACTGCGCATCAAAATTATCTACCAACCAGCTCTTCATGCGCAATGATTAGAGCACAGAGCGCAAAAATCTCACTCCAACCTCTATGCCAGTCATCTCTAGAACTAGAAGAGGGAGGTTTATTGTCAAAGATGTATGAAAACGCCAAGCCCACCCTTTGCCCTAGCCCTGGTAATTTCCTTAAGGGCCCTGACATTATATACTGTGGCACAAATGTTTGGAAGCGCTTTGACCGGTACTGATGTCATGGAAATATTTATCAGCCGCACTTTATTCCAACGTCAGACTGAGATGAGGAGATGAGGGCTATTTTCTGTTGAATGACGACAAAGTCAGAATTCCTCATCTTCAAGCAGGCGCCTATGTCGCGGGGCCATTTATTCATCTCACATTGGTCAAAACCACACCTTTGGGGCCTCGTTGTAGATGGACGGGCATTGTGTTCTGCCTGCAGTCTGTACCTACATGCATCAGGAAAAAAGAATTTTTCCACACAGAGTGCTTCTAGGCCCTACCACTCATTATTCCGAGCTCGTGATAGATACCTATGTAGTCTCGTCCGAGCTCAATCGCTAACTTTCAATAAAGATGGATCCGTTTGCACAATTTTCGTCTCGTTTATGAAGTCATTGAACCAACCACATCATCACTTTGCATAAGATAGCTGTTGTTTTCAATAAGTTTGCGTCACACCATGGTCCAGTACATGGGTGGTTGCGGTGCTGATACGTGTGTACTGCTATCGAGAACAGCGGGGCAGAGAACCTATGTAGGCTTTTAAATGTACGCCACATACATAGAGTATGTGATAGGTACTTGGTGTCTCATACTCTACCATGGAGCAATCGATCGTGAGAATCTGATCAATGGGATATTCATCCGAATTGTTGAGACAGTGTCTTAAAGCAAAGTCGTGGGGTACATGCGGTTGGTAAACCCCACCTAGGAGGGGTACAACCCCGGAGACGCAACAGCTACCTACTCTTTGCATCAAAACGCTGTGCTAGACAATAGTCAATTGTATGAAATTTGATGGCGTTTAAAGGGAGGAGTATCAACACGGACTACAATGTCCTTTGAACCGAATGGAAGAATCAGCTTTCGCACAGTTACTCTGCCACTAGTGAGGATGGGTGTTTCAAGAAATGATATGTTGAAGCCACAGAGTTTTGGAATAAAGAACATCCATGATAATTGGAGTTTGGAAGCGGGGTTACATCGCTGTACCTTTCATTGGGCGATAAGAATACCCAACCCAGTTTGGGCATGGTATTGTGCATACATCGTATGCATGAAGAATGTTCTCTCAGCCTTCAGTCGAATCTACGTGTCTCCGCTGTTTGATTTGTTGTTTTGGAGTTACAAGAACCGTTGACCGCAGCCTTGGGGATGCCCTGGCTGCCAGCGCATTTTTTCTAGTATAATCATGACTTTTTCTTCCCTTTGGTTCTTATCTAGAACAGGTGTCGAACGGATATACTTTAACATTGCAGAAAAGCCTGGAGGCCCTCTCATACTACTCCGAAACCGTTGACCATCCTAAAGCTTATAATCGGAGAAATGTCGATGAACGCATCTGTCAAGAATGTATTCAAAAAATGGAAAGAAACCACGAAAGCTTCAAATCAACGCGCAAGAGAGAGAGCGGATAGCACAATAACAATTGATACTAGCCAAACATTTGAAGAATTTGAGCATAGAGCATCAAGCGGTTCTGAAGACGATATGTCCTCTTCAGTTACTACAACCTCATCTCTACGGTATTATCCGTTACTTAAAACCTTATGCAAATTCTATATTACTAACACGATGGTAATTAAAGAAGATATGGTTCAAGAATATCAATAAGTGGTTCAAGGAGGTAGATCGCTCAATTTCATCACTTGGCTAAACGCAATAATCGCACGCAGCACATGGCTAATTTAGGGTTGATAATCTAGGTCATCAGTTACGAATTCCGAGATTGATTCTTGGTCGAGCAACGGAGGGGAAGATTATGATGACGGGGATGATGAAGATGAATATGAAGATGGTGAGGAAGGCGATGATGATAATGAATCGTTCAAAAGTTTTGAAGGAGTTCATATTCGCACCCCCAGAGAAGATGAGGATGGTGGTTCAAGAACGCCATACGAAGCCGACAATGATCCATTGCCTTCGGACACATGCGAAGCTTGCCAGGAACCAGAAGTTGGAGTCTTATCCTGGTGTAACATTTGCTGCATTGTGCTTTGCGATAAGTGCTGGATCGCTCAGGCAGCTCACAAGAGTAACCCTCGAGCCAGAGGGAGGAAAAATCATGAGAAAACGGACATGAGGCTTTGGGAAATAATCAACTCGATCTTAAATCCAGAAACAGATTCCAAAAGACAGGAACAACTCCATAGAGATAACTTTGATACCAAATGGTTCGGAGTGGAGTTCAACGAAAACTCACGAAAGCCCTGTTTTCATGACTACGGGCGTTATGTTAAACTTGCATCAGAAACTGAAATGGAAGCTGGAACGCAGCATCCCTCCATCACCTGTTTCGTCGGGGAAACAGGCCATGGAAAGAGTACACTAATAAATGCATTGATGAAGGTATTGAATCTACACACTCGTTTTATAGTTTGGTTTACCATTATACTGAATTGATAAATTCAGATACATCGACATACGACTTTAGCACCAGACCAAGTGCCCGTCATGGGAACATTTAGGGAACTAGATGAGCCCACCAGTGATGCGGTACATTTGTTTGCGGACCCAATAACCTATAACACCAATAGGCCGTATTTCTATGCCGATTGTGAAGGTCTTAGTGGCGGTACTAAGATCCCCATGGCCACCAGAGCTTATCAAGGCGTGAAAAACTTCCGACAAAAAAGGCGGCACGCGAGAAACGATCCTGGAGATAATGGAATTACATGGGCGCGCGGACAGGAGAAATCGCGTCAATGGATGGTAGAAAATCTCTACCCTAGGGTTCTTTTCACGTTCTCGGATGTTGTGTGTTTTGTTACTAGGAATTTTCGGTGAGCATTAGACCTTATATATATTTGTAAAAGCACACCTATAACTAATCTCTGGACAGGACTCTCGAAAATGTGATTTCAAAATTGATCCGTTGGGCAGATAAAGTTTTTCAGCAGTCAGTTAATCAGCCTGTACTGCCGTACGCCGTTATCGTTGTAAATGCGCTTGAGGTATCGGTAAGATATGCCTAGTCCGTTTCAACAAATCTGCGGTACCTTAGAGGCTTCTAATCTAACTCATTAACGTAGGACATCGCTTCACCTTGGTGGGATATCGATGGTACAACTGGCGACCAATTGAGGAAGCGTGCTGAATGCATCAAAGATGACCCTTTCATGGTAAAATGTGTTGAAAAATGGAGAAGCCTGGGGAAAACCATCAACAATCTAGAGGAGCTACTTATGTGCTACTATAGTGGCATTAAGATAGTGTGTATTCCTCATGCAAAGGAATCGCCAGCAGTCATCGAACAACAATACAAGGTTTTATATAAGGTTATGGAAGAAGGATCTCAAAAAGCCTACGACTTAAGGATAAAAGCCGGACTTCTTATGACAAGTGAAGAACTAGATGTCTATCTTAGACACGCTTTTCATCACTTCTCGAAGAACCCGTCAAAACCGTTCAACTTCCTTGCTGCGGCATTCCACCATAACCCCGTTTCTTCAACCTTCAAAGATCACATCGCTAAAGCAGCCGTTCATGTCATGACTCAAAGCCCTCAAATGTCGGGAACAGACATGTTCAAGCTTCTAGCTCCACTTGTTGCTTCCTGTATTCTTTTGGATGCTTTCAGAAGCCGTTACCCGCACGGTGGTATGAACTCATGATCATGCTTTCCTGCGTCTACCTGGTACCGTCAACATGCTAATATGAGCTATGAGATACCTATAGGCCAAGCCTCAACGATTTTCCCGTTATATCAAAAGTTCTGCGAGGATGCTCTTGCAGAAGTATATGAAAAGCATTGGCGATGTGAAAAACGTGATAAGAAAGGCCGGCGTTGCGCAAATGTAGCCACCGGACACTCAAAGGGTCATCAGTTGGAGGACGGGAAAGTATTTGGCGTTGGGGATTTCAGCTCTGCTTACATTGAGAATTCCAACAAAGAAAGAGATAACTTCATTCGTACGATATCTTCTGAACTTGACAGATTATTGAAAGAATTTAGCGCAGGACAGGGCATTTCCGTTGTGGCCCAATACCACTGCAATCGTGTACTAAAGAAATATGCCCGGTATTGGAACTGGAAGGGGGATACGCCAGATCATGGAGACCATGACATAGCACCTCTTACAGCTCATACAACATGCTTCAGCTGTTTATCGGGGACGCCTATACACGCACTGACTTGCGGGCACATAATCTGCGAGCGATGCGCCGAGAATTATTCAACCTTATCTACTTCCAGTTTCTGGCGCGAAATTAGTATTTGTCCGCTCTGTAGCAATACGGAAAGTCCATGGGAGATCCCATGGAAATATAAAACAAGGCCAAAACACACAGGCCTGCGAATTCTGTCTCTCGACGGGTGGGTTTCTCCCCAACCATGATTCATGGAACTTACTGCCTAAACATCGTACCGTGGTATCTGACCATATACACTTAGTGGGGGGATTCGGGGGATCATTCAGCTTAAAGTACTGGAAGCCTTAGAGAGAAAAATTAATCTTGGGGTTCCAATCCAAGATTTCTTTGATCTCGTAGTCGGCACAAGGTATGTGACTGCTTAAGTACAATCACCACATGCATCACTAAACTGAAGTTTTCTTCTTTCTAGCTCTGGAGGAATAATAGCGCTCGCGCTTGCATCGAAAAGAATGAGCGTGACTGAATGCATAAACTTTTTTAGTGATTTTTCTGAACAAGCATTCCAAAAACGCACCGGGGCAGATCTGCCAGTAATGAAAACGCTTGTTGAAGCGACATACCATAGTAAGTACGAAACTAGGGGGATTGATCGGGTTTTAAAAGAAAAGTTCGGGGACGAGTCTATCTTCGGAGGTAAAAGAGAGCCTGGGGGCCCAGAAATGTTGAGGGCAGGCGTTACCACCATCTCTTCGAGTGGACATCCATACTTGGTTGCAAATTATAACCGCCCCTTGACTGAGGACTGTAAGTCTTTTGATTATAGAACCCGTCTAGTTACCGTTTTAGGACTAACAGTAGTAATAGTAAAAATTAAATACAACTTCTTACGAGCTGAGAATAGCCATCAGGAACTGAAAACCTGGGAAGCGTAATGTTACCATGTTATATGATCTTTAGAAACGTGCGATATAATCTAACTTCTTTTTAGTGCACGCGCAACCTCTGCCGCTCCGAGATTCTTCAAACCCTTTTTTCATAAACCAACTGGATATAGTTTCAATGACGGAGGTCTTAGGTTCAATAATCCGGTAGTGGTAGCTGACCAGGAATGGAAGCTTTTGTGGCCGAACCTTGCAAATAAGCACCCCGATATCTTACTCTCTATTGGCACCGGTTATGACCCAACCCCTAAACCTGACTTGGACAAACAAGGCCGGCGGTTAAGAGCAAAGCGTGGGGCATTAGAATTTGCCAAAGTTCTCCTCAAGATAGCCACACAACAAATCGAGAGCAGCGTGGGCTGCGAGCAGACATGGTCTAATTTTCTACGCTCGTTACCCATACAAGATGAAGATAAAGCTGCCAAATATCATCGTTTAAATATTGACCTTCCCAACAAGCTCCCGACGATTGATCAGGTTGATCAGATGGCAAACTTGAAGCGATCATCAGAGGACTTCTGCTATAACAACCCACTAATTGATCAAATTTCAACAAAGCTCATAGCCTCCCTATTTAACTTTAGGCTTGATGGGTCTTCCAGGGTGACTCAAGGGACATTGAATAAATGGGATTGTGAAGGTAACTTGGCGTTCTAAAATCTCCAACAAAATTAAAAGAATCCTGAAAATATTAATGTACACATAGGAACTATACTCTGTCGACTTGAGCCAGGTTCTGATGCATTGAAAAGGCTGTGCAAACGGCTCGAGACACGTCGGAATGGCTTGCCCCGTCGGAATCACCTGTTTTTTATGAACGAAAGGAGAAACTCTAGAGGAACTCCAGATCAGCAACTCATAGCTGAAGACAGTTTGTTTGATAATGTCACTAAGGGAAAGCCATTCGAGATGAAGATTAATTTCTCGATGTTTGGCCCTGAGGACTCAATGAGAATATTCCTCTCCCTTTCTGACAAGGAATGCGACGTCTCGTTAATAAGCGGATTCCCCTGCCGTATTCTGAAAGAACACGATGCATGTAAGAGGCCTCCTAAACTAATTCCACTATGCAGATTTTGACACTTGATAGACCGCCCACTAGCACGAGTTGATAGCGCAAGAACCCAACGGGGTCATAAGAGCAAAGCCCCAAGCTTTTATTCGGCAGTTTCAGTGAATTCGAGTGCCTCCTCATTGTCTGGCATTTTCCGCGGTGTTGTCACAAAGGCGGGGGCTAAAAGTTCATCGTATTGATGGATTTGCGGCGTAACTGGTGATTTTTCTTTAATGAATTTTAGGTGTTACGGTTTTAATGGCGTTCTTAGAAACTATAGAGAGGAGGGAAGGCCATAAGCTCTATCTTTTTTCTTTATCTCTTACAATTCCTAAGTTAAATCACTCGGTTATTTCAATCTTTCATATGGTTTCATTGCTCTCGTTTGTCACTGCAGATCCCTATCAATTATGATTTACATATCCAAGACTTTAGTCCACTACATGCACACCCAAGGTTTAATCAGTACAACTCAAGCACTTGCGAATTTACTGGCGCTACTCAGTAGCCTGAGTGAATCACAAACTACACAAGTACACCCTAAAGAACATACATTTTCATAATTTCTTATAACCAGTCAAGGCGTGACCAGGTATGAGCTGTGATAAAGCCATGAAATTCTTGGAGTATAAACAGTCTGTCTCAGATTAACGCATAACCGTCTCCATCTAATTTTTTTAAAAGATTTACCTCCTTTACCTCAGTTGTCTGGTGACAGTTAATGAATTATCAGTCAGTCAATCAGTTACGTGGCCCAAAGCGAGTGACCGCTCATGAATCTATATCAAACCCATCAAGTTCGAACTATGCCATGGCCAGCATAATTCGTAAGAAGGGTAAAATGATAACTGGAAACCAGAAGCACATGAGAACTCTCTTGGCCTTTGTGGTAACATTGAACGAACGAGTGGGGCAATGTGGAGCTAGAGGGCTGTGTGTGCGTGCGCTGTAGACAATGCATCATGTCAGAAGAGAAAAAGAACAACGTACCACAAGAACTCCGGAAGAAAAAGCAATCAGAGGGACGCCCACGGTTCCAAGTGGCCAGTGTGCCATGTTTACATATCTACCTGAAACGCGATAGCCAGTAAGCAGATCGGAGGTACCATGGCCACATATGCTTGCTGCAGGATATTACAGAAAACGGTCTGTTTAGGAAACAAAAACCCTTATCAAAAGAAACGTCGGTTGGATTCGTGACGGGGCGCATCAAACCTGAAACTTGACGTTTCACTTGTCTATATGCATACACGGCGATCTCTCATCGACCTTGTTTCCCCTCAGCCATCGAATCGAGGTGAAGCAGCGCGATCGACGGATCGCACCATCTTCAGCAAAAAGGCTATATATCATACCTTATATCCAATCAATTTTTGGGTACATTTTGACAATTCACGAGTAATCACTCGGCCTTGGCTTCGGTTGTTCGGTGGGTGGAAGAATGGAATATACGCGTACACGGCGCATAAGCCCCTCCGCTAGTCTGTTGCTATCGAGTGATCTTCTATGATCAAGCCCTAGAACAAGGAATGTGACTTGTGTGTGGTCTAATTTACACAACGACGCTCCACAACATCTCGATGACCTTACATACTATGATTAGATTGAGAAACTCAAATGACGAACGATAGAACATGCAATCAGAAAAAAATCACAACTGTCGAAATAAAACACCGAGAAAAACGCTACAAACATGAACCACTTAAGACCCTGTAGACTGTCACTGTTGATGCTGCCCCATGTACTTATATCATAAAAAGCATTGCTATAAGCATCAAGTCTACTCTACATAAAATCTGCCATGCAAAGTCCGTCATCCTCAAAATCGGTGCTCTCAATTCCGCTCGAAAATTACGCCTTTCCAGAAGAGGGCGTAAACTACGGGGGTCGATTTAAGTTAGCTAACGCCAAGTCCAACACCTAATCTTCCCCACCTGGTAAGCTTCGAAATTTTGGGTTTTGCCCTTTCAATTATTTGGGACTACAGGGCACGCACATGGAGCGGGTTTTTGTGCTGGACCTTCATCTTGGGCTTATGATAAATTACATGTAGGCTCTCGAATAAACAATCCAAGTAAGTCGATGCTCTGGTAGAAGCAAACCAATAAAAATCGCGTATGAAAGATTAACTAACATTTTCACAGACTGAGGGTGTTGTTGCGGACGGCGATTCCCAACTAACCTAAATGAGTAGGATAAATTCCAATTGAGTGGCATGTCACCATCAGCTCTTGTGGCCAAGGGGTAAGGCGTCGCACTTGTAATGCGAAGATCTGGAGTTCAAATCTCTACTGGAGCATCAACATTTTTTTGTTATGAAATAGATAATTTAGACACGCCGAATAGCGGAGGGCACCCATCATTACCGCGAACAAAATCAGTGATGATTTGATTTTGGACATGCTACAAACGCCATTGAGTGATATTTTGGTTACGGGACTAATCTCCCGAGAGTTATATTATTAATCACGCCTACAGTAACATACATTTATACGAGGTCAAAACTAGTCAAATCCAGGATGTGAATTCAAAAAAAACAGTGTTGAAAAACTTCACGACGAAACCCCCTTGCTCTCTACTTAGAGATACTTAGTTCACACAGATCCGTACTCCGGAACCAACCCAATAAGACAAGAGGATATCAAAACATAAAGAAGAAAGGAAAAGAAAAGAAAAGAAATAAGGAAATGTAAACTACAAATCAAAAAACCCTTTTTAAAAGACAAGCAGCCAGCCAACCAAACGTCCAAACCAAGAAAAAAAACTCAAAACAAATTGTCCATTCGGTACTTCTTTTGCACACTACTCCAATGCCGCCAGATTGAGCGGCACTGAACTTCCCCTACCACTCCGATAAACTTTCGTCATGCCTGTAAATGGCCTCGGGTCTGGTAGGTCCTGCTCCCTCTTAAATTTCCATCTTTTATCGTCAATGACAATTTTCTTGGCCCCACCGGCTCCAATTCCTCCTGTTCCCCCCAGTGTGAAGGTACTCGGATCAACAAAGCTTCTCGCCACGGGTGGAGGCGGGGGGGGCGGGGCTGCTGGTCTTGAAGAGACCCCGTTACCATTGGTTGGCGGAGGTGGAGGCGGAGGAGGGTTGCTTCTCGGTGGCCTCGGCGCTACGGTAGGCGGGGGCGGTGGAGCGGAGCTTGGTGCACCGTAACCTGATGTTGGGGATGGGGACTTCCGAACCGGCGGCACTGGCGGACGCCCAGGAGCTAGCGATCCAGGTACATGTGGAGGCAGGGGTGGGGTAGCGCGTGGTGGACTGGATGGTGAGCTTTGCACTTGCCTTAAAGGCGCGGATGAGTTCGGCCTCTTAATAGGTGTCGGTGGTGGCTTTCGGATACCATGTGGTGCGCTCGGGACGGAATGAACTGTTGGCCGGAGAGTTGGAAGTCTCGGGATTGATGGGGCTGCCCGGGGCGGTGTTGTATTGGTGTCTGACGAATCTGAAACCGCCGAATCACGATTTGCTATTCCGTAGTCAGCTTCTCAGCCCAGACTTCTAAAAAACAGGGATTAGGGGTTCATTCACGCACCACCTGTATTCACTCCGCCCTTTGTACTTCTCAGTGTTGGCATACCCCCGGCAAACAAACCCGCCAACTGAGGGCTAGGTTCCGCAGGAGTATAGCTGCTACTGCCACTACTCGCCCTCAACCTCGCGGGAGTGCTAGGAGCACCCCCACTGGGAATCCTTGGTGCGGCTCCACTCGGCACTCTCGGCGCACCCCCAGGGACCGGGGGTGCTCCCAAACTGGGCCCCTTAACCGGAGCGCTGTCTGTAGGTTTTCCAGCAACAGCAGGCGCACTACGGTCGTTTATCTGTGTGACTTTCTTGAGCTTGAAACCTCTTGTGATTTCATTGTTGAGGCCGCCCTGGACTGGAAGGTTAGATGATGGTAATCTATGGTGTCTTGTTGGGGGGTATACCCTATTTGCAGTTGGACGGGGAGCAGGAGCTCCACCAGACGGTGGAGGAGGAGGAGGTGGTGGTGGTCCCCCCCCAAATGATGGGAGTGGCGGGGGAGGGGGAGGTGGTGCAGGCATCCTCTTGGCTAGTAGCTATGTATTTGTTTCTGTGTAAGTTTAGAGGTAGCTATGGGGGGGGATGTTTCTCCGAGTATCTGTCTAGAGGTGAGTATAGTAGATAGTGAGGTTGGAGTGAGTGAAGGAGTCAAAGGGGGGTGATGTTTTTTTTTAGGGAGGTTGAGAGATGACGGATGTTGGAAGTAGTTCGATGTGCCTGGAACACAGCAGGGCAGGGCAAAGTTACGCGCATCCAGCCAAGCCTAGGCCGGTCGGGCCGGGTAACATCCGAGTGCACCATGCCTGATCACTCGCATCAACTAATATATATCATATTGTACTATACTCATGTAGCACTTAAACCTTCAAGAATTCAGAATTGGACACTAAATCCATGTGTTATAGGTACTTATACTTATTGCATTATACTCCATAAAGTAGTCAGTACCTATTACCTATTTCATCCACTATCCCAAAGAGAAAAAAAAAAGCCTAGTACGTAAACCTTTAGGAAATAAACATTTTCAGCCAATTTAAATATTCCGCTCATTGAACCTCCCAGAATACGCCAATTCAAGACAAGAAAGGGGAAAAAAGAAAGAAAGAAAGAAAGAAAGAAAAAGAAAAGGAAAAGCCCTTAAATTCCTAAAAATATCCAACCGTCCACAACGCTGGAAGATTTGGAAACTTTTCTTGCCAGCTGGCCAAAACTTCTGGCACCCTCTTGTCCACGCTATCCCTCATATACGCTTCTCCATACTTCTCCCTCTCTTCTTTCGCGGCGGCAGTCAGCATATGAGCTAACTCAAGAATACCCTTGCCCCCTACGACGGCTTCTTCATGGTTATCCTTGATATCCACGTTTATGATATGGACGAGGCGGTTTAGTGGCGAATTGCGATTGAGGAGGTCTATTTTACTCGTTAGATATGGCGAAAGAAAGTAACATAGGAACGAAGGGATGTATAAACCTTCTACTACGATATCCCAGCACCTTTCCTCGCACGTAAAAACTACGTCAACAACCCCATCTTGAACTCCATCCTTTCTCGGCACGCCAACTTTCCAGTCCTGCCATCTTTCTGGGCTCCCTTTGATGTGCCGGTTCCGATCCAACATTCCCAGGAGTCCATTAGCAGTGTAAAGACGCGGATCTTTGTGCTTGAGCTCTTGATACATTTCATCGTAGGTAGTAGAGTTGAAGGCATAGATGTTAGGTTTGTCGATTGACGGACCAGGGAGACGGACAGCAGAGCCGGTGCCGAACGAGATCACGGGGTAGGATGCGAGTGAGAGGACGAGGTGGGCTTCCATTGAACTGTATAGCACGATATGGACTCAGTATTTAGGCGTCATAGCTATTATGGGGATCATGATTGTAAGGCAGGTGCATATTTGTGTTTCTTTTGCTATTGTACGTATGTTTGATAACAATATCATCATTTCCAGGTTTTCCTTGCCGAGGGAGAAAGAGAATCGGAGATATGAGATGAGTAGTGGAGAGCAGTGAGAGATTTTTGATAGCACTGCGTATCAATCATTGCTTTCCAATCGAGCTGACCCCTCAGTTGCACACTTGATTTTGATAGCCGCCGGCCACCACCAAGCGGTAAACAACCGCTGCTTTCGCGCCGCAGCGTAACAGCATTTATCAGCTGGGGTGTGCTCAACATCGGGCTCCCCGTTTACCAGGTGATGCAATACGCAGCACTTGCCTCTCACCCGCTGTATGGGTAGCGAGAGTTACCTTCTCTCCTCCCCGTACTAGCGGTAGCGGGGTAAAGTCATCTCACCCCGCCCTCACTAACCCACTCACTCACTCATCTCAAATCATCCGCATTCGGTCCTCGCCTTTATATGAAATGAAAATTCTACATTTGGTGATAGGGGGAAGAGCAAGAAACTTTTTTCCCCACCACTACCTATGCATTCTAACGGGTTGTGGCGGTAACCGTTGAATCAATGTGTGCGGGAGGGGGGGAGAGGATAAGGGGACAAAGCAGAAGTTGACAAACCGATTTTGATTACTAGCACAAACAGTACAAAATTTCAGCGGGAAATCTTTCTTCTCAGAGCCATCGACAGATGCTTGCGCAGATGTTTCCAGTATGGCTGATGACGCCTGCTGTGGTGGCTGAGCCTGCATCTTTTTTGTTGGTTTTTCTTTCCCTGTGATAGTGGCTGGCTGAAATTTCACCAAGGGAGGCAAATTGTCAGCAACTAGTTCAGGTACAAGTTTTACGATAAGGGATATGCAGGAGGGACATATGGGAAATGAAGTCAGAAGTTTGCGTATAATTAGTTCTCTCCTCAATGACACCGAAGTGACATAGGACAGCTCCAATATTTTAAGGCTCATCATGTTAAGAATTTTTTTTTCTCGAGGCAGGGGCAAGAAACAAGGGCGCGGAATAAGCAAAGGGGTAGTCAGATAGATGGAAGAGTATATACCTGATAACTAATCTATGGGGGATTTTCCCTATGATCGCCTCTACCTTGGTAAACGTCTCGATGTTGTTTGGTAGATGGTGATGATGAACCGATGTTTGTTTGGATGAAAAAGAGGTTGAGGTTCAAATTGTTGGAAGGCAACGATGTAACAGGGGCCAGCCAAGAAACCAGTGCCAAGCCACCATACATATCTAAAAATAGACGAGCACGACGATGCGCGAGGAAAAAAAGCGTCTATGACCAAAGACACAAGCGAATGGGAGTGCGCAATCAGAAAGCGACCTTTCCCGGGGAGGTAAGTGAGGACCCTGTCGAGAGGGGAAGGTGGTATCTAACGAAAGAATTGAGACATCTCTATCTTGTTATTTTCATGTTTTTGTTTTCTGTATGTGCCTACACCAAAAGTTCTTTATACACATGTATCACGCTCGGTAAATGTTGAGTTTCTTGGGGAATGAGTAAACAGATAGAGTGTTGTCCTTGGACACTAGGTGGTACATATTAAAAAGTACCTACATGTAGGTAACAAGATATACAGGCATCTGTTAGATCATGGATAAAGACTTCTTTTTTGGATCCCAGGAAATGAAGCGACGGCGACAGCGTTTGGCATGGCTTGATCGAGGAGAGGGGGTTGTTGTAAAATCAGAATGACCTTTGGGGGTGTTGTCTGTTGTTCCCTTAAGTCTTCCATCCAGAACAGAACGCAAGCAGCCAGGCACGCTCGCGGAACAACATCAATCAGAATCAATTAATCACCCTCGGATCGCTGGAGGACCCCTCCTCCGCCTACCTCACTTTCAGTTTGTCTCTGCTGCTCCCTGTAGCGTGCAACTGTCTATCTGTCTATCTATCTGCACCTCGCTGTTCCACTCCCCGCTTTTGTACCGTCAGTAGTCGTTACTGGCTGGTTATTGTTACTGAGGTTTCCAAACGACACTTGCTTCCCTCTGGTACATACACATTACTGTACATAGGCCCATACGTTGCTGCACTGCTCCAGGTACAGACAGCACACAGCCACCCGTACACACGATAACAATCAATCCTCCGATAGTCAGAGTTTGGGAGACTAGGATAATCGCGTTTTTGCTTTCGTTCCTTTTCATTCATACGTTCTCTTGCCAGCCCCGTTCATCATACATAGCGTCCCCTCCCCTCCCCCGCCGTCATCCATCTTCACCTCCCCCCCCCCCCCCCCACATCTTCACATCGCCCCTCTTCCAACCCCCCTTCCCCCCATTCACCAACCTCAACTTCAACTTCTCCTCATTTTACTACCCCTTCCTCTCCTCCTTACACTCTGAGGTGATCACTATGGCTTCTCCCACTTCATCCCCTCATTCTCCAGGTCCTCAGACTACGTGTACCATTTCTGAATCCCCCGAGGCTACTGCTGGTTCAGAGCGATCTATTTCTACTTCTAACACAGTCCCATCCTCTGTCCGGAACTCGAATTTACTACCGAACACATCTTCGGCAGAAAAACGACTTTCCACTTCCTCAAATTCCTCAAGGAACCCCCCAACACCTAACCAACCACCTCCTGCTTCCCCCAGTCCTTCGTTCACCTTTACTGCCTCTCCATCTGCTTCCCCGCAGCCAGGTAAGCATCGTATTCCGTCGTTCCCTCCTCCACAGGCGACCAGAATCTCCATTATGTCGACCCTGTCTTCCAATCGCGATTCGTTCAACCCCCAATTCGTTTCGTCTCTGTCCTATACTTCCGTCCGAGATTTCGCCTATCCTTCACTACATCCTTTACATTACGGCCCCTCCATCGCTTCAGGGCTTTCTACCCCTGCTGGCTCACAGCGCGGCTCCGAGTATTTTGAGAATACTCCTGGCGGTGGTAGCTCCTGGTTTACCGGCGGCGGCAGCGGGTACCGTCGACTTTCAGATCCCGCCCATCCTTCTTTCGACCTCACTTCTGCCAGCGCCTCTGGAGGATGGGAGTCATCAGCAGCTCGACAAAGATCCACGAACCAGCCACCGCCCCTTAACTTTTCCGATGGTCCGCCGTGGAGTGAGGATGAGGATCTACAGAGCCCTGTTGTTTTGCCGAAACACAGAAAGCATAAGTCTTCTGCTGCGCACATGCAGAGTAATCATTTAAGAGGGCAGAGTAAGAATGCAGTGGCGCCCAATACGTCGCAACACTTTCCTGCGGGAGGACAGGGTGACGAATGGGAAGGGGATCGAAGATCTGCGATCGAAAACGGTATCTCTCCTGGGGGAGATTACTACACAACCCGCGCTGGACGCCGCACGGATCTCGCCGGCGGAGAACCTGGTGATGAGATGTACAACCATGAGGGAGAAGGTGAGGAGGAATATGACCCGGACGACCCCGAATACAATTCTCACCAATATCACTATTCTGATGAGGATGGGCATGAATATGATGACGAAGAGGAAGGCGAAGATCTCTATGACGACGAAGATAGCAGGTTCAGCAGAGATTATCAATTTCAAATAACGAGTCCGGATGAGGAGATGAGCGGGAAGGCTGTCGCATTGTTTGATTTTACGAGTGAGAATGAGAATGAGCTTCCTTTGGTAGAAGGACAGATCGTATGGGTTAGCTATAGGCATGGACAGGGGTGGTTGGTTGCGCAGGATCCCAGGACTGGTATGTGGATTTCTCCTTGTGCAAAGCAAGCCATTTAAAGTGAACGAATAAATTGTTACTAATAGAGCTACAGGAGATACGGGTCTAATTCCTGAAGAATATGTTCGTCTTTTTCGCGATGCCCAGACTTCATACGATCGCATGGATCCAGCTACCATGACCCCATCTTCCTCCGCAGAATCGGGGCCTTTGGAGGGCGAGCTCACGTTAGACACAACAGGCACCAGTACAAATGGACAAACTGCGCCTATAATCACCACTTTCTCAACATCCTCCCAAGACGTCTATCCCTATCAATTCCACTACGCCACAGACCACTTACCAGAGAATCCCCATCATCCACGTTCCAGAAACTCGCCAGATTTCACGGGCGACATGACCCCAACAATCACCAGTAATAAAGAGAGGATTGCTCAGTTGCAGCGAGAGCAAGAGCGGGCAGTAGCAGAGGAATCGTCCACACCTAGACTTAGGGGTGGGCGGTACGATGAAACAGGGGTAGAAAGTTCATCTCAACAGCGGCCGCAGGAAAACGGAGATATAGGCCAAAATGGCGTTGCGATCATACCCAGGCTAAATGGAGGGGGAAGCGATGTTTACTATGACGCACCTGAGCGACAGGGCGATGGTTTTCGAGGAAAGGCGAACGAAAACAATCTGCAGGTGCGATAGCGATATTGCTTAAGGATGTCGTTTCTATTTCTATCTTATCTTATCTACCGTTATATTTCTTCTATTCTTTCTGGCGGGGTCACTTTCGAATCCATATATTTTGATATTGCTAGCTGGCTGGGACCGGTATTAACCGATACCCTTCTTCTTCTACATTCGCTGTGTTTAACCTTTTATTTCAAACCGTGCAAGGGCTGGATTCATGCGCTATTTTCTTCCTTCTTTATTAACCTGGTTGTGGTTGCACTTCTTTCGTGTCTATGCTTTATCCATCCACCCTCCTATTACAATCTTTGCCCGGTATTATACCTACCTTACTGCCCCATGCTTATTCATTCGTTTTTATATAGTCACCCCCATCATTCGCTACCGGTTTGCTTCGATTTTGGCTTTTCCCGCTTTTGTTTTTTTCTTTCGTGGTTTTCCTCCTCTGCATGCATATAGGAGAATCCGGCGGGGTGGTTGGGGGTTTGCGGGGCCTCCTTTCATTTCCTCCCAATCGTGCTATGGGTCGGTCTGGATGAGGGTTGCTACGATCAAAAAAAAAACTCTTTATTCTTTTTTTTCTTCATTTTTTATTTACGCGTGATCCAGCTAGCTAGTTAGTTGATGTAGCTTTTTTTTTTCTTTCTTCTTTTTTCTCTTTCCTATCCTTTGTGGTTACGGGGTTATAAAAATTATGATGAGTTGACTGAGTCTTCGTTTGACTGAGTCGCTGAAATGATTAGGTTACATACATGGTGTCATTTCTCTGTTCTGTGTGATATGTTTTATGGTGAAGCTTTATGTTTAGGACGTACGTTGTAGGTTAGGTTCATGGGTTATCACTCGGTGGGTTGAGGTGAAGGCATTTTGGAACAATCACATTCATAGAATATTAGAATATAGTGTGTGATATATATATACTAACTTCCACAAAACAAAATGGTTCCCAGCAGATAAAAAATCTCATAAAAATCCTTAATCCTATCTACAAATATAAACCAATTCGAGGAAATAACTCCAATCCCAGGCTCAGAAACCCGGTTTCAGCATGAAATGACTCAAAGTGGTCCATGAAGCGGGGTCAAACAGAGCAGAAGATAATCTACCCGTGAGGGTAGAGAAAACATACCAAGTCCCCAGAGACTCCGATATGACTTGTGGTGTCAGGTTGGTTTTGGTTTAAGTGTTAAATTATAATCATTTACTCACCTAGTACTATAGCCAACCTCGGAATGAGTAAAGGGGATATATTTTCATATAAAATCACCCAGCTCCAGCTGTCTCTTTCTGTAATCATTACTAATGTCTTACCAGGCTCGAGCTTTTTTTTTTTTTTTTTTTTGAATATGGGCTCGTGTCCGCTCGGCCCGCGCCCACCACTGCCCCTCCACCTCCCAGTTCCAATACCTGCTGGTATGATTACATCCACAAGAACTTTGGAGGCCTCGGCGGTATTATGTAACTACATGATATGATGAGAATAAAATCGTGGTGCGACTGGTGGCACAGCCGCGGTACCGTCGTGTCGGTGAGCCCGACCGAGTGGGCTATTAATTAACCTTAGCTCAATGTACACTACGTGCTAAGGCAGCTCGTAAGATGTCTACTAGATCTATACAATTGACAGTTAAGATTAAGTGGTTATCTCTATTAGCAGGCCCCACGCCCTGGTGGTGGTGGCAGTATATATGTAGTCACAACTCAGGCCTGGATCACTCGTTGGGAATATATAGCGAGGTGTTATTAAATGAAGAGCCAGGCCGACTATCACAGCCCTCAGGTCAAAAGTACCCCACCTCTACTATACCCACACGCATATTATATTCAAATTCTCTCTTTTCACCACACAGTTTCATTGCACGGTGTAGACCAACTGGAGCACGAGCACAAAAAACAATCATTTCCCGCTAACGTGACCTCCCCGCCCGAGTGAGGGCCCATGATCCCACCCCGCCCAAAAGTTCCCAATCTCCTGATCCCATAAAAATACAGCATAAAAATACAGCAAAATCATTTACAGTCTACACGAGCAAAAGAGAACCGCAAGAAAAACAGAAAACAGAAAACAGAGAAATAATCCCCATTTAATTAGCTCAAGTAGCTAGCGGGTGCTTAAAACAGCTCCCCCGTTCTCCTTCTCGCGCGGTTGGCCTGCAACTGCTCGACAATCATGCTCGCTCTTGATTTCCCCTTCACCTTCTCCCATTCACTCTCGCTCAGCACCCTCGCCATGTCCTCTCCCCACCTCACAACCGCCTGTACAAACGGCGTGCCAAAGAACGAGCTTGGCTTATGAATATCCGCGCCCGCATCCACCAGCACCCGCGCAACCTCCACATCATTATTCTCCACCACGCAGTGCAGCGGCGTCACGCCATCAAAATCCTGTGCATCCACATCCGCGCCCGCCCCCAGCAGCAGCCTAACCATCCCCAAGTCCCGCTCCTGCGCCGCTATATGTAGCGCCGTCTCGCCAAACACATTCACTATATCCGCCCGCGCCCCGCCCTTTAACAGCAGCTCCGTCGTCGTTCTGTCCCCGGCCTGCACGGCGTAGTGTAGTGCGCACAGCTCATAAATGCCCTTATCGGCCGCGTCGATCTCACCCGCTTTCCAAGCCTTGTGCTCTAACAAGGCGCGCACCACTGTAACATTCGCACTGGCTGCCGCGCAGTGGAGCGGGGTCTTTCCTGCCCGGTCATGAACATAGCTCTTACCTGCACCGAGACATAGAAGCTTTCGTACCATGGCCGCGTCGCCATACGCGGCGGCCCAGTGGAGTGCTGTGCGGCCAGAAGGTTTGTCAAATATTACGAGATCTGTGTTTCCCTCTTCAACAAGGCGGTCAACAAGGCGGTTCATATCCTTGTGCCATATCTTACAAACACCACTATCGTATATGACTGTTCCATATTTACTGGTTATGGTGATCTGCGTCGACCTCTCGAGGAGGAGCTTGATCCGTGCAGCCTGCTTGTAGCTTATTGCCAAAAAGATAGCCGTAACGCTATACCGGCGGTTCTTGAGTGCGGTGTTGAGGAGGTCCGCGGAGAGGAGATGCGCGAGGCGGCGGTTTGTCCGTGTGAGTGCGCTGAGGGTTGGGGTATCGACATCGTGAGCGACTTGCAGAAGTAACTCGTTTGGGAGGTCGAGGAGCGGCATAGATAATTATTTTTTTCTTTTTGGACGCGGTCTGGCTTGACTAGTGCTGCAGGATGTGTTGTGTGTATGATGTGTATGTGTGTGTGTTATGGGAAAAGAAGGTTGTTCGGACCTCCGGGGGGGCATACATGTACTCTGCTCTACCCAGCTCTTACTCCTAACTACCCCTGGCTGCTGCTGCCGGACCTGAATCAGGAGAACTGTCGCAATAAGGTGTAATAAGCCCTAACCCTGCAGCGTTCTTGGCAACGAATAGTAGGGGCTGAGTGATAGCGGGTGATGTCCAATCAGTGAAGTGTAGTATTGAGGGGCGTGCTTGATACGGCCCTGGCCCTGAGCTTCTGGATGGCTCTGCGGTGGCGTTATGCTGTCTGGAATCCACAGATCTGTTGACGGGACGGGGGTGAGCTGTTCTTGCACCCAACATGAAACTCGGGAGAACCGCACACAGCTGTACAGGGGATGGATGCATTGATGATGATGAAGGAAGATCTTGAGAAGAGGATGGGGAGGAAGAAGAAGAAGGAGAAGAAGTCTCAAGCAGCAGCTGGTCTCTGATGGCACATGTTGTTCTAACTAGAGTAGAGCAGGTCGTAGACATGACGTAGCCTGATCTGGGACCTGATAAGTAAGCCAGGTATCTATTGGGCTAGTTTGACGATCCCCGTTAGGCCAGGAATAGTAAGGTACAACTGCAGAAGAACGACTCGAATCTAGGCCTTATGACCAAACAGACATAAAGTTCCAAGAAACAGTCAAGAAACCTGATGGAACCGACAAGAGTCAAAAACCGAGTTACTCTGACTCGATGTAATATCTGGTTAGAACATCGACTATGACTCGTGTTTCACCAGTCCAGTATATAGACAGAAACAAAAACACCTCCTGATCGAATACGATATTTTGCAAATGATATAACTATATGTATATAAGTAAGATTAGATATGTAGTCTCGAGACACAGCTCAAGCACCAAATTCCAGTATTGACTATTGGCGAAGGGAATACGAGCGTCTCCTTGTCACTTTGCACCTTCAAATATGCCCATCACTACCAAAGCACATACGTCCAAGAAAAATATTATTACATACTGTAACATCTCCTTAATATATCCCATTCTCCACCACCGCCCGTTTCTACAGCCACAGCCACAAATCTCCTTTCCACAGATCTTCTTTACCAAGCAAACAACTCAGGGCTAGGGCTCGCCCCCTACCTATCACCCCCACCACCACCACCACCTCTCCCACGCCCAGCCCCCCTCTCCCTCCTCTCGTCTCCACCACGGCCCACGATCCACTTCCCCCGTATCCAAAAATAGCTTAAAGATTAGCGAATCTCTCACCCACCCCGATCCAGGAACCGCACCCAGCGACTGCCATATCCGGCCTAGGGCACATTGACCACCGTCTTTTTACTCGGAGTCTTTCCGAGGCACGTTTCAAGATGGGTCCCGTCTCCGAGTGATCTCCTATGATTATCGCACTCTAGAATGGTTACTCTATTAAGGCGTGACATCTAAGACTGACTATAGTAAAAGAAACGTCCCTCCATCACATAACATACCAATCACAATTCAAAGGGAATCCTCTAAATCTAGATCTAAAACTAGGGCCAGAATAAGAAAAAAAGCGGGAATAAAAAGAAGAAAAACCTTAATTTGCAAACCCCCAGTTCCCGTCCCGTAAAGGTGGATGTGGAAATTTAAGGATAAACCAGCCAAGAAAATAAAAAGAAGAGAAAAAAGCAACGCTTATGAAAACAAAAAGAAAACAAAAAAATAGCGGCTCCAAACCTAAACCCAAACCCAAGGCTAGGGCTAGCCAATTAACTACCCGCCTCTAATTCTCCGCCAAACCTCCTTCATCACGGCAGTCCTATGCTCGATGCTCCTACCCACAGCATCCTTATTCTCCTCCGCGCGTCTCAGCAGGTATCGCACGCACTCTTGCGTGGTGCCCCACACAGCATACTTGTAGACCTCGATATCGAAGTCACTCTGCGCCTGCGCCTTCTTTGCCCCTTGGGCCACCAGCCCCAGCGACAGCTCATCCGCCATTCCCAAGAGCTGCGCAAACACCAAGCGTCCAACACCACACTCCTGGGCCGGCATGGTGCGTCTGAGCGCCACCGCCATGTCGATTGACTCTCTATTGTGGCATGCAATCACCAGGTCGACCTTTGCCTTGTTCTTTTCGGCGCCCAGAATCTTCTGCACGGGCCCGTCAAAGAACGACTTGGAGCTGTCCACAGATGACCATTCAGGTGCTGACTTTGGAGAGCCGGTCAGCATCAATCGGATGGCCTCGTCGTAGGCCTGGTCCGTGTCCGCTTTAGTGTCGTGAATGAGCTCACGTGGGTCCGACCCGATATATGCT